TTCAATTTTTCCCCGATGATCAATTGAACCTTGTCCAGCCATTAATTATCGTTATCATATCTCTGGGGGCTGTAAATAAGGCCGGGTTCCGTATTAAACTCAATGCGTTGCATTTTTCAAGCCCCGTAAAAGAATCTCGGAATTTAATAACTCGCATATCTGGAAGGTATTTCCAATTCGATTACCCCTTTGATCAGACTTAATGAACCGACGACCATAACGGCCAAGCATAACGAATGTATGTATACGGCATGACCGAGGCGGGGAAACTGTGGCGAATGATGGAAGCTTCATTGGGGAGCGGAGCCATTAATTTAGTTATAAATTAAGTAAAAGGCATTCACTCGAGAATGATTCGTTGTCATAGGAGACTTCTGATTCGAAATTGCATTGTATTTCTACATTGACAGATTGCAGATTGGGGCTATTGTCCGAAATGTGTCTCCTACAGAAAGTCTAAACGTAATTAATTTGCAGTTCTGTTGAATCAAAGGATTTCCCTGCTATTCGAATGTTCAAAGGACATTCACGCCTCCTGCGCCATATGATGCCTGCCATTTGGGTTGTAAATTTGCAAAATAAACGAAATTGATGTTGGAGCAACAATAAACCAGCGCTGTCCAGCCATCATCATCCGGCACCCAACATCCAACATCCAACATCCAGCATCAAGCATCCGGCATTCAGCCGCCTGAAATCCGAAGAAACCAAGAAAGGACCACCAGCATGGGGCTTCATGTCTCTCTCTCTCTCATTGTCTCTCTTTAAAATCAGCAGACGGCCGGTAGGACGACAGACGCCCCATGATGCATGTCTCATATTGCACTGATTTATGGCCTGGCCTGGTCAGCGGGTGGCTTCTGGTAGGCAGTAGGCAGAAGGGATGATGTGATGGCTGGAAACACCCACTCCGAGTGCAACACGAAAAACTGCAACTGCTGGTAGTCCAGCAATGCATATGCACACCCAAAGTCAGGCTGAATATTTCACAACTTTCCCCCAAATTGCATTTAAATAAAGTTTAATTAAATTTTAAGCCTACCGAAAGGCTTCATTACCTGAAATTGAAGTGACAAGGAAAACCTTTTATCGGGCGAATACCACAAATGGGATTGGCAACCTGTCGTAGGCGGAAAAAAATGAAATATATTTTTGGTTTATATCGTTTATAGAGAACCTGATTTGCGGCTCATACATCAATATTTTATAATTAAATACCTATGACTTATGGCTAGAAATATAATTATTTAACTTAGTATGTGGATAGATTAAATCGTAAAGCTGAGCAGGGGAAAATTTCCGACTTGCAAATCTGGGCTTTGGGCTCCACTGATCTAAGCTAATGCTGCTCAAAAGCACGTTTTCCGACAGGCTTAATGTCAAATCCTAAACGTAAAGCTGATAGACAGAGAGCCCCCAGGTCGATTTTGTTCAACTGACAATGGACTTGAATCGGAATATTGAATATTCAAAACACTTTGATTGCCTTTGGGTGCTGGTACTGTTGCTGCTATCTCCAGGGAGACGGAGGAAGGAGTCACCTTTCCGTATTTGTGGATCTCTGGCTTTTGGCGGAGGGACATCCGCATTGATGGGATGCACACAAATTAATGGAATTATGGCTGCCTCGGAAAATGGATTTCGAATGTGAAATGTGTCTGAAAGTTGTCAGTGCGGACTTTTAACCGATTCTGGTCTTGTCACAGCGCCAAAACCTGCAGGGAACAGATAAAAGGGGAAGAGACTATGGCCGCTGTACAGCACTTGTGGAACTTCTTTCATTTAATTTCTGAAACAAAGTTTTCTGTGTGACTAACGAGACTAAAACTTTTTCGAAAATAAATTTGAAATTAAATTTCGCCAAAGCCTTTTAAAGTCCTCATTCAGTGCGTGCCATTCGGCACAAGGGGGAGAGTTTTGCTGCTGAAGCAGGGAAAACTTTTTCAAAATTTACTTTCATCAAAATTACATCAATCATAAATGCACTCATTCAGTCGTTGTCAGGTCGCCATTCCATTCCATCAATTCATGTTTTTAGAGCTTCGTGCAGACTGATGCCTTTTGTGTTGTTGTTCGAGTTTAGTTGCCATTCTGGTTGTTGCCGGGGCATCCTTTCATCATTTTCTAATTGAAATTGATTTAGAGTTATTTCTGCGTCGTCTCTTTCCCCTTGATTTGGGTTGAGTTCGTGTGGAGCGTGCTGTTTTCTGATGTGTGCGGCCAAAAACTAATGGTTTTTGTGATTTGAAGCCCCCTAAAAATCGTAGAAGAGGAAAACTGGCGTCATATTTCCTCCGAACGATTTAAATTTAATTCCTTTTGTAGGTCGTACAAATTATATACAAAGCCCTGACCCTACCTAAAAGTACCAAAGCTTCTTGTATAATTTGTATTCGTTCCTAAAAGCTATTACAGATTGTTAAAATAACAGGAGGTACCCATTTCTTGGTCAGCTTAATTTTCCATTTGACCGGATGGGATGATTGGAAAATCCATTAATTCGAATTACTTGCAAAAAAGCATTCTTTAAATTCTTGCCACATGTTGGGGCATGTACACTCGAGTACATTCATATATATATTCTAAGCTCATATGAGCTCTAAGCTTAATATTAATTGAACTGATTAAGTAATTACTAATTTTACTTATACACATTACAGTCAGAAAGTTCTCATTCTAAGGATCCCAAAAAAGGTCTTTAAAGAAAAGTGCAGTCCATGCAAATAATCATTATTAAAAGGCAGTACATTGGAACGATACATTGTTCGCCGGATCCGCTAGCATATATTTATCGAACTATGTATATATACAAAGTATCCATCGTATTATAGGTGCGGGCCAAGAAAACGAGTTTGCTACCCGCTTCCAGTTGCGTCAATTCATCGCGATGCGATTGGAAACATGGGGGTAGCAGCTGGTTTTTCGCCACAATTTTAATGGCCCGCCAGTGCCGCGGGTCTTGGGCAACTCCAAATGGGTTGCACGACGTCGATCCGATCTGCAACGACCTGACCCGAACACCAACCGAACAGATCCGACTCGAACCCGAACCTAAACTTGAACCCGAACCGTGGCGGGAAGCTAAGGGGGAGCTAAGTGGAGGCCACATGATGAATGGCTCTCATGTGGGACGCAGCCTTCCGAGCATCTAGTTGCTCCATTGCGCGCGTGGGTATACGGGAAGCTCCCTCAAACAGCTGTAGTCAAAATGGTAGAAATGGAAACGGTTCTTAGCTTCTTAAGGTCTAAAACCTCTTGTCAATGTCCGGTGAAGGCCAACTTCCCGTTATTAAATATAATATATTATTTTATTGTTACTATAGTCAGATATGGCATAAAACCATTAGTTTAGAGCAGCAATGGATACTAGATATAACAAAAAGAGCAAAGAACCCATTATAACAGAAAGTAAAATTAAATTCCACAGATTAATATAAATTTTAAACCTAGGAATAACTATTGTATTAACCTCAAGTGTACAAAATTAATGCTTTTGCATGATTTATGAGCGCCCGTCGAGGCGTTTCGAAAGTGGCGGGATGAGTTGGCAGTTGGCTTTTGGAGAAAATCGAGGAGAAACTTTCTTTCGGACGGAAGATGGATCGCCGGATCGGCGGTATAGCACTGAGATCCGTAAGCAAGTATAATGTATAATGTGCGCTGCAGTTTCGTCCATCATCCTCGCTCCTCAGACTCCTTGCCCTTTGGCAATGCAATGTCCGGACTTGAGTACGGATTTTGGCTCCTCCTTCGGCCTGTCGGGGCGCATTCATCAATGTCCATAGCGCTTCCGTTGGTACACACACACACACAGATATATATATATACCCACTCTGGCACCGACTGTAGGGGGCTGCATGTAAAGCACTCGCACACCAATGCAACAATCTTTATCGAGCACAAACATAATCAATCAATTGGATTTATGTGCTCCAACTCAAGATAAAACTAATCAATCTTCGGCCAGCGACATTCGGAGACAGAGTTGGGGACGACGAATGGACGTGGAGGGGCCACGGGGATGATGGCTCCAATTCCGAGTTCCAGCTTCCATCTCTCAGCTCAGCTCCCAGCATCAAGCACTATTTATTTTCTGAATCTCCCCAAAGTGGTTGCTATTAATTGTAAAGAAGTTTCGAGGCCGGGACGCTGAGAGATGATCATGGGCCACTGTAGTTGAATGAATGTAATTTCCGGTCACAAGCTCAGATAATCCATTGGATAGATAAGACGGATGGTTTATAGTTGAATCTAATCTAAACTTTGACGCAAATAAATGTGCAAGGTGTTTCCAAAGAGAGAGAGACTTAAGTAACATCCTTATCCATATCCTTATCCCCTTAATAAATCACTGAAAATAAATAAAACTAGAAAGCATTGTATAATTTCATAAAAACCCACATGTCAGCAACATATACATATAAAGGGGTATTAACCCCATAAATCGTTCGTAGGTCTTATCTTATCATAAAGCGATAAGATAATATAATGAGGGGTCATTCCAAAGAGCAAAGTGAAATTGCAGTCCTTATACGACCCATGGTTCATTTTATGATTTGATAAGAGTATCAGATCACACATGTATAAATTATCCTGATTACCTTATCTGCAATTTTAAATTCGACTATACTAGAGATAACATTAAGGAGAGGCTCTCAAAAAGGGTTATCTGATCACTAAAATAGAGGACAAGAATACTATTCTGGGGAATAAATATTTAATTAGGTAGGCTTTATAATCTAATCTTTATAAAAATAAATCTGCTGGCACATTTTTTGAAATTAACAACCCACAGCTTACGCTACAGTCTTAATGGACTTAATTATTTCGCAACATGGTTGGTTTTAAAGCAAACAGTTGCACTAGGAATAGATTCTGACATCACAATTGAATAAATCTATTAAATATTTAAGGAGACTTCACACTTACTCTTTGGACTTTAATTATAAATTTAATATTAAACATTTGACTAAGGTTTTCCTTTCTCTCTATCGTTTTAGTCGGAGTCCAACTCATCGGCATCCGCCAAGTTCGCACTTTTCAAGTGTGTCTACTGTGCTCAGCTCCTCGGATCCAACGACAGACCCAAGCTGCTGGAATGTCTCCATGTGGCCTGTGCACAGTGCGTGAGCACAAAGTTCTCGGAGCTGGACCGCTCCCTCCCGCCATTGATCCACTGTCCCGTATGTGACAATGCCTCGCAGAACGAGTTCATTGTGGACAATCAGTTCCTTATCGAACAATGTGCCGCGGGCGAGAGCGGCGAAGGTGCAGGTGGCCTGGGGCTGACTGGGGAGGGCCAAAAGACATCGGCGGCGGCGAGCATCCAGTGCAGTAGCTGCTCCGATGGAGCAGTGGCCACGTCGTGGTGCGTAGATTGCTCGGAGTACATATGCGACAGTTGTGTGCAGGCACACCAGCGCCTCAAGATCACCAAGGATCACACGATTAAGCCCAAAGATGAGGCTAACAACGAGCAGCTGGCCGGAGCTGCTGGGGTGGACAAACTGCACATGTGTCAGCTGCATCCGCAGGAGAAACTATCGCTCTTCTGCGAGACCTGCGACAAGCTCACCTGCCGTGACTGTCAGCTAAGCGATCATCGGGATCACAAGTACAAGTTTGCCCACGAGATTGCCACGGAGTCACGCCAGGCACTATCCACTCTCGTCTCCGAGATCAACTACAAGCGCTTCCTGCTCTCATCGGCCACGAAGGTAATTGACGACCGGCAGCAGCTGATTCACGACAAGAAGAAGGATCTCATCAAGGAGATCACCGCCATGGCGGTGAAGATCACCAATACGGTGAATACCCGTGGAAAGCAGCTCATCATGCGATTGAACGAGGTTTGCGACAGCAAACTCAAGGTGCTGGTGGAGAAAAAAGAGACGTTGCAGCTGTTGTCCGACAACACAGACCACTGCATCGACTTCATGCAGAATGCCCTGGAGAAGGGCAGTGACTTTGCCATCCTCTCTAGCAAGAAGTCGTTGGTGCGCCACCTGCAGAAGCTCAAGTGTCAGCGGGCAGATATACCCAATCCAGAGATCCCAGTGCGCATACAGGTGCAACTCAACCAGGTGTCGGATCTGCAAAAGGTCATCTCGCAGCTGGGCATCATCATTGTGGATGGCAAGCCCTATCCGCCGACCCCCTCACCGAACGGCACACCTCAACCACCGCCGCGCCAGCCGCCCAGTCCGAATATGGCACCGCCCCTGCGCCCGGGACTTCCGCCCGGAATGCCCGCAGGCCTCTCACCGAACGGTCCTCCCGTCAACTTTGGACCGCAGAATGGACCGCCGCTGTACACCAACGCCGCCCAGCAGCAGTTTAACAATCTGTCCATGAGTCGCTCTTTTCCGGGCGATGGGCCAGGTAAGGGTAGGAACCGAAATTTATTTATTATTTCTCATTTATTATCGTTTAGTTAGTCTTTGTATGTATGTATGTGTAGAGTTCCCCTAAAAGAGAAGGCTTAGAAAGGTCTACCGAAAATAGATTTGTATTTTAGCAAAGATAAATCTTTATAAGTTTTTCTTATCTATACTTGAGATATAAGCACTACGTGTTATAACTGGGAAAAGTCAGCAAATTCTGAATGAGTCATACTTGTACACTAGTGGCATACTTTCCAACGTCTTAATCCGTCTTAATCTAGCCATATCAGGCAGAAACTATTTTGAAATTTTAAATTGAGCTTGCAGACTTATTAACCTAATAAAAACTAACATATGAAGACTTTCCGAATTAAAATTAATGTTCTTTTTCCTTAGTTATGAGTATTTTAAACATTGTTTTGTCGAATAATTTGTCATATAGAAATTTCGCTATTTATTTACTTTAAAAAATCAAACATTTTAGGTATGTAATGAGTGATTTCCGGTTCGATCCTTTAATCTCTATCATCCTTATCTTCTCCGTGTTAGATTAAAGTTTCCTACTTTTTAGTATTATTCATAATTCTTTTGTTTTGTAACTCTCCCTATCATTTACACATAATTAAGTTATTTTAAGGTATTTAATATATCTTATCCTCTTCCATTCTGGAAATTATTAAGTAGTATGTCAGCTGTTTAGTGGTATTTCCCAGAAAAACTATACCCTCTGGCGGGCAGTTGCTGTTATAATTTTCCGTACAGCTTTTTAATAGATTTCCTCGCCTCCATTGCAGTGCGCTTCGGGGGAATGCCGCCAGTGGGCATGCAGCGACATGGCCAGCCGCACGTGAGCTCCTCCACGCATCCACAGAATATGGGTAAGTGCCGAGGGCGGAGTCCAGAGTCCAAGAAGACAAGGTGGAACATTAATTTACGGTTCTTGCGCTTCCAGACATCAGCCTGCGGGGGCTGTTGAACAACCAGGCGGCGCAGAGCCCCAACGCCCACATGGCATTTAATGGCCCGCCCAGCTATCCGGGCGGACCGCAGGGAGCACCGTCGCCGGCCCACCAGCAGATGGGCCCCCAAATGCGGCCGCATTTCATGCCCGGCCAACAGGGTTTCTCGCAGGGCGGTGGTCCGGGAGGCGGGCCCCGGGACGCCAATTTCATGAGCAGCAATGCGCGTTTCCAATCGCAGTACCAGCGCATGGCCAGCCACGCCCAGCAGGCGGCGGCCGCAGCGGCCATGGCGGGAGCGGCGGGAGGTGGCGGCGGACAGATACCCTCGCCGGGCGCACTGCAGCGCCCCCAAATGATGCCAAATCCCATGCAGAATGTGAGTATTCCTCATCGAAATTCGCCGGTGCATTCTAAAGGGATCTTTAACATTTTTTTGTCTCCCTTTATCTTTTTTTTTTCGTTGCAGTCGTTGGGGTTTCATGGGAGCCAGGCTGGCTTTAATACCGGCCCACCGCAGACCTCGCCGCAGCTAGGAGGTGGCGGGGGCATGCACAGCCTGGCCAAGTGGCACATACCGCAATCCGCTCAACAGTCGAACAGTGAGTAATTTAAATGGGTCCATTTAACCCAATTCACTTTCTATTCTTTCTACAGAACTCGGGTTTCTAGTACTCGACCATAACGTTCTTTATTGAAGTTTAAGGTTTTAATTTTATGAAATAATTTATCGATCTGTTCTTAGAGTAAAAAAGAGATGTATTTATCTTACAAAGCGTTAATCATTTTGTAAATTTCTATAATTTCATATCATGTCATAACCATATTGTTCCACAAAATCATATCAAATTAAAGCATAAGCTAGTCAAACTCTAATTTTTTAGATCGATACCTCCTTACATTTTATTTATTTTCTTTTAATTACAGTGTGTTCGCAGCAGGGTCCCCTTTTACCATTTGCGAATGGCCGCCAGACATCGGAAAATTTTAAAATCTCATTGAAATCTCCAAATACGCTCAAGAACAGCACCCCGCCCAGCCTGGGGGGCGGCGGTGCGGGTCATCACCAGGGCCACGGTAACGGGTCCTCCTCCTCCAGTGCACAGTTGAACGCAGCCGCCCTAGGATTGGGGCCAGCCGTCTCGATACTTTCGAACGTCACCTCGACGAATCCAAAGACCCCCAGTCCCAGTACCCATGAGGTGAGCTATTCAAAATAACTGCCCAGTTGCATATATTTTAGTTACCAATATCTCATTTTCCATATAGAACACCAAGGACTTCACCGAACCCATTGATAAGGTGCGCGACGATTCGATCAACGATCTAATTGCCACCATAGCCAAGCTGGACTCGAATGGGGTGCAGGTGTTACCAGAGGGTCGCACCAAGACCACTTCGCCGCAGGTCCACAGCTCTACGGATCTGTCCAACACGCAGGAAGGTGAGTACAATGCCGTCAAAGGTGTCCAGAGCTCGCTGTGCGTGCGTGTATGTATGTATGTATGTAGCATTGTAGTTGCTCCATCTGGCTTCTGAATCAAATCTTTAAAGTGATGGTGGTGGTGGTGGTTACCTGCTTGTTACCTGATTTTATGTTGTTCCATCAGCCATGAATCCGCTTTAGCTTCAGTCTTAGGTGAAGGTTAAAAAAGTTATCTTGAGATTTTTTTGTGGTGGGGAACGCGTCGTCATTGCCTTAAGTTTTTTTTTTTTGATTGTTGGCTTACCGAACATCAAATTCTAAAATTCTTATAACTTTGCTCTCTCTTTATTTCTATTTTCAAACATATTCCGAAAATAAACTTGTTTCCCAAAATAAAATCATATCAAAACGCGCAAAATAAACGGAACGACACACGTATAAACTACTAACAATTGAATCAAAATGCCAAACAAACACTTGAATACACTTAAAAATAAAAACAAATTAAACTCAATAAACAACAACAATGCATAAACCATACACCACACCACACCACACACACACAACACACATACACAAACACACACACACCCGAAATGCAACAAAAAAACTAATGAATGTCAGTTAATAATAAAAACGAACAAAAAGATGATCCCAACGAGGACTGGTGCGCCGTCTGCCTGGACGGAGGCGAGCTGATGTGCTGCGACAAGTGTCCGAAGGTTTTCCACCAGAATTGTCACATACCCGCGATTAGCTCGCTGCCGGACGAGAGCGAGAGCTGGCAGTGCCTGCTGTGCGTCAACCTTAAAGAACTGACCAAGACCGAGGGCGAGAAGACATCACCGGGCGAGCTGAGCGCCCTGGAGCTTCGCATTTTGCAGCGCATTTGTCTGGAACTGTACTGCCAATACGAGCAGAGTCTCAACTTCCGGGAGCCGGAGTCGCCGGCCAATACATCCTACTACGAGATTGTGTCCAAGTAGGTTTCATGTTAAACCGCAGCTTGTCCCTTAATTATAATTAAACTCCGATTATTACAGCCCGATGTCGCTGGATGTAATTCGTACCCGTCTGGATCCCTCCAGTCCCAACCACTACAAGGACATTGCCGGCTTTGTGTCCGACGTGCGTTTGATTTTCTCCAATACATACCTTTTCTATCAGGTGAGAGTTGCAAATGTCTCTGCCTTGCTTCCTATCCCTACTAACAACCGAATTTTCGGCCAGGAGGACACAAAAACGTACTCCAATGCCAAATACTTGGAGAACTTCTTTGAGGAGCAGCTGGCCAAATGGTTGCCGCATTTCGAGGGCACCAAGCTAACAAACAAGCAAGTGGGAAATTCCACCTCCAATTCGCCGGCCCTGGCGGCCCATGCAAATGCGACTGGCACGCCGTCGCCCATTGAGAATGGTCGCAAGAGCTGCGGCTCAGCATCGCTGGGCGGTGACAGTGATGGAGCCTGCTTGCCGGCGAAGCGACCGCGTAGAACGCTTGAATAGAACGAACTGATGCCCGGCGAAAGAGGCGCAAGCGGCGGTGGAGAGCAGCCGGGGTCGGAAGAGCAACATCGCCAGGAGGAGCAGCTGCCTGGAATTTTGGAGGAGTTAGATTTTGAGAGGCCGCAGCGTCCGCACAGCCTAGGCAGCAATGTTATCCAGGAGAGCGCCGACTATGTACTCCAGCTTTTGCACGCTTACGCCGCCGCCTTTGGACTGTAAATGACACGTCGACTTCCATCCACTTAAAAACTACATATCCAAATTCTACTCCTTTGCTTCCTTCTCCGTGGTGAGTGTAGTGAGAGTTCGAGCCACGTAAGCTTCTCCCAAAAAGGCTATAAGGCTATAGCTCCACCCAAGCAGCGGTGTGTCCTCTGAGAATCGCACTTGTAAATATTAAAGCCAAGCAGCAAGTCATTTGATATGATTTTATTTTTACGTACAATGGAGTAAACTACTGAGTCCCCACTTCGGAACGAGATATGTTTAGGCTAAACTCTAAGTGTTGAATATCCATAAACATTGATATAAATATATGAATAACTATAATGTATACCTTTGAGAGTAGAGAGAACCAGTAGAGATTAAATCTAGCCTGTAAGTGTTCGAGTTCGAGTGAAATGGTCGCATCTTTATTTCATTGATTAGTATTTGGGATAGAGCCCTGTTCTGACCCCCATTTGCCTCTGTTGGAGTTGTATTTACTTTTGTGATAGCGAAAAACAATAAGATGATCAAATTAACAACTATTCATTAATATTATAATTACTACCATTAGACCGCATACACTGTGACGCGCAGATCTACATTTATTTCGAATTTCGACAATTACGATATATGTATTTATTGACCGCAAATCATCCCTGTCCCCATCCCCAGAACAGCATACATTCGTATACCAATTAAGAAGACACTTGACATAAGTTAGTAGCTGCATTCTATGATCGTCGTAGGTTCCGCAGATGAATCAAAGCCCTAAAAGTTACGGATAAGCATGAAAAATAATGCATAAATGTTTGAATGTTGTACGTTTGACGTTATGGCATACAGCATAGGCGTAGGCAGATGTACATATTGATCAATACATGTAGTATACATAATTACGAAACATATATATGCTAATGTCGTGGAGATCAGAACTAAAGTAAAACCAAATCCGCGCTATGATCGATATTTTCATACATGTTTTCAACGCAACAGAATCCACACACACTGGACAACTACTACTACGAAATATATAACTAAACTAGATGGTAAACCGAACGGCTACTACTCCTAACGATGCCACAATAGCGACGATAAGCGGGAAAACATATTAATGAAATTATAAACATAGTGACGCATAAGTGTTTCTACAATGTATATGTGCTATCCTAACGAAGAGATACATAGAGCTAAAGGCGATTTAAGGCGAGCAAAGGTAGATCGATCAGATCATGCATAGCATCTGCGCATGCTTGTGTGTGTTAAATGTGAAACTATGGAAATTATTTTATCTGTTTTAGGCGTAAGTTTTACGATAACTAAAGATTAACCACTGTATATTGATGTACTACTTACTATCTCGAGTGGAATATGAAAAACCAATAAAAACAAATGGCAACAACCTTCAAGGGCGCTCTCTCTCATTTAAATTGCAAAGAATCCGTCCTCCCGCAGATACTGCTCCTCGCCCAGGGGCTACAAGAGGAATCTTTCGTCGATGAGGGTCTTGCGGGAGACATTGCGACGCACCCAGAGGCGGAACACATGGCGAAGTAACTAAAATTAAATCAAAGTCTTAATATTAATTAACTCTTAATAGATTCAACTAATGACCCCACCATATTAAAAACACAAGCTGCAGCACCTGCAATCAACAAGCTCGAGGTGATCAGAAAGAGGGAGAGCAGCAGGAGCAGCTCCATCACAAATATGTGCACATGGTTGCCCAGAAGGAGTACCCGGGAGAAGCTATACGAATCGTCAATGTAGAAGGTACCTTTGTCTGGAACAAAAAATGTTAAATGCGTGGAAAATGTGACGTCCCAAGGCGGTTACTTACTTTCTGTGATATAGTTTTCGATTTCGCAATTGAGTAGTTGTTCCAGAATGGATTTCTCCTTGATAATGTAGTCCATATCCTTGATGGCCTGCAAGATATAGGAGAAAATATCAATGGGAATCGCTGATGGATGTAGAAATACTTAAAATACTAGGATTTCTCAACACTCACGTGATCAATGAAGGCGCAAAAGAAGCGATTGATGCTGGCATAGGCAATGGATGTGCGCTCCATCTGACCATCAATGCTGGGCACAATGTCCTTCTGATAGAGCAGCGTCTGCGACAGGCTGCCGGTGAGACTGCGTTGGAAGGGCAACAGCAAACGCTCCAGGTAAATGCTAACAATATATTGTAAAAGTAATCATTACTTCATTACTTCAGTGGTTTGAGCTCAAACTTACTGCAGATTTCTAGGAGGCAGGATGATGTAGGCCTGTTTATCGGAGTCCATTAGTAGTCCCCGTCTGCCGCACATCGTCTGTGTCCTTTGCAGCTGCAGGATCATCGAGGACATATCCGTGTCCGCAAAGCCGTGTGGAGATCTCCCGTGAATATAGTAGCCGAAACCAGGTTCCGTCAGCGAGAATAGCGAAATATTGGCCAGGCTACAAAGGTCTATGAACTTCTGGAGGGGATTGGTCACGAACAAGCGGTGTCCTAGTATCTGAAGGAGATAGGTGAGCAAATATACGGCAACTATCAAACCGCATTGCAATCCCAGATCTCCGTGGGAAAATCGATTCAGAAAGTGATAGCCAGCTATGAGCACAAACACCTGACCCAGGCTGGAGTACTTCTGGCTAGCACTCAGACGTATCCAGGCGTTGGCCGTGAAAAGCACCCGCCAAGCAGACACACTGCTTTCGGCGACGAAGGTGCGTACACTAGAGCAGAGCGAGGAGCTGTCCAGATTTAGGCGCTGACCCTCACAGCTACTTCGAGGTCGTTCCCAATCAATGAGGAACAACTCCAGCTGACTGGAGCGCCACAGCTGAACGCCCAGGAAGAGCAGCTGCAGCAGGCAGGCGGGATAGAGCAGTATCTTCAAAAGGCTCGAGCTAGAGGCCTGCACCAAGAGAAGTAGGAGCGCTGTGGCTAACAAGGCGTATGCGGCATTCCCAGCAAGCTGCAACAGGAATTCCATCAGGCTGCTTATTTGGCACAGATCAGCCTTTCTCCTTCTTCGCAGGTTCTGAAGACGAAAGACGGCAGCCACGAAGGCGAGCAACAGGAGCAAGGGCAGCGCTATCTCCAGCACCAGCCAGTCCCATCCTCGCTTGACCTGTTCGTAGCTGACTCTTAAGCGGAATGGATAAAGTTGCGAAGAAGAGACGTTGCCCGATCCCAGCTCAATGTGGCGATAGCGTAGTCGGATGAGTGGCAGGCCCACTCTATCCGGTTGATCTTTATCCAGGGTGTAGTGCAGCTCCAGCTTCTCTACATAGTGCAGAGAGTGGTACATTTGAAGCTTGTGGCCATCCTCATAATGTGGCAATGTCTGATGCAGCCGATTGTCCCTTGGTAAAGCTGAGATCATCTGGAACCGCTTTACCAACTGCCATTCCTCCAGCTGGGAACGCTGAAAATATTAGCGAGAAGTAAGTGAGTAATATAATTACTATACACTAAGGGCTAATCCTTACCTGATTCTCTGGACTCAAGGTCTCAATGAGCACGGGCAACTGGTGGAGCAGAAAATGCCAGTTGCTACTAAAATTGAGGTATACTGTAAGGAACTCATCATTGGCCTGCTGTGTGGCCAGGTCAATGAGTCGTTCTAGGCTCAGCTGGCAGGATACCTCTGAATCCTGCTTCGGCAAAGCAAGACGAAGGGATGGTGCAGATCGCTGGCAGAGGTTGACCATCTCCAAGTCGAATGCACCCCAACGCTTCAGCCTTCCATCCAGGCCAAATGTGGTGCTAAATAAGCGTAGCTCCCTCTTCTCTGCAAGCTGGAGCGTCTTTGAGAGCAAGTCCTTGGTGGTGCGACCCTTCTTGTAGAAGAGAAAAGGCTGCAGGGCTCGAACCTGCTCACCGGAGTGGGCATACTTCATCACCACATCAGAGACCTGGGTGAGCAGGAAGGCGCTGCATGGCGAATGCTTCTCCAACGAGTAGTGTGAGAGCACGCACAGATTGGCCAACTGCTGGCAGGCGGTGTCGTTCCGCAAGGTCAGGCAGAAGAAGGCCACGAACTTAAGGTCGCCAAAGTGGGTCGGAGAGCCGGAATCCGGTCTGGGATTACTGGTGGCCTGCCAGAAGGAGTTGTAGTGGAGGTAAGGACGAATTAGGGTACTGGCTACGCAGAAATCCTGGTAGCGGAAATTGTGGCCCATTTCGCACGTCTGGCAGTCGCCTTCGCCGTTCGATGGATTCGTTTTGGTGAGGATAATTCCGGAAATAACTGGATGCACTGGCAATTGGTTAGCTATGACGGAAGTGGAGTTCAGATACCGAAAGCTACAGGCCGTTGAGGGGCGCGGCTGGGGCAGCCACACCGTGCTGCAGTTGTCGTTTCTGTCAGGGGTGCAAATCTCATCGCAAGTGGGCCATGTCTTGCCCCGCTCATAGATAGTTAAATGTCCAATTGGGCACTTGCAGGAGAATTCTGGTAAGCGGATGAATAAAACAAAATCTTGATTAATTTTCTGATTGTTATAAAATCATTTTTAAATAGTTGTCATAATTATCCTGTCCCTGTCCCTGTCCTTGAATAAAGTTACATATTATCCGCGAAACAAGAAAGGAAGCTAACTTCGGTACGCCAAAGTTTGTATACCCTTGACGATTCTTTTTATGGTAGTTACATATATTATATATTTGTCCGATTTTCTTGAAAAAGTTATATTTTTTTTCTTACAATTTTCCGATCGTTGCTATGCCAGCAATATATACACATATGTATGTGTACATATGTATGTATACAGATCACCGATTCGCCATGTTCCGACCTATATGCCAGTAAAATTATATAGAAGAATAACTCCATGGTTTCATTTAAAAAGCTTGCTCTTCAATTTGTCCCAAAACAAATTTCGCACACGGGTACTTATGATTCCCAACTGGTTCTAACATCCCCGGAACGAAGTGACTGCTGCCGGCCAAGTATCAGAAATGTGTTGTGTTACAAAAGTTGCAAGTCATTGTTTATTAGTGTTCAAAGTTAGTAACTGATCATACATACTTACTGCTCATAGATACTTACTGATCATATTTACTTGCTGATCATAGTTACTTACTGTTCAGAGTTACTTACTGCTTATAGATACTTACTGTTCAGAGTTACTTACTGCTCAAAGTTACTTGCTGATTAAAGTTAAATTAAATATCAGCTCTCTGCTGCTCTCTGCCTCTCCCCCACTCTCGCTATGTTAATCGCTCTATGTTAATCTCTAAAGGCAACAGCTTCTCTCCCACGCACTCACATTCTCTTCTCTGCTCTGCTCTTCTCTGCTCTGCTCGCGGACTATAAATAGAGGCGCTGAGGGCCCGCGCGCCTCAGTCTGTTCTAGGGGTACCTAGTGTTAACATCTCAAGTGATAGTGCAAGTGATCAGCCTTCGGCCTAAAAAATATGACGTGGCCAATGCAATACATCTGGATGACTAGGAAGAAACTCCCTTTGGATGGAATCAGCATTCTTGGTCACAACACTGGAAGGAAGTAAACAATGACGTGTTCTCTACTGCGGTAAGTCTTAACCATGACATATATATTATATATAAATAAGATATTGGTGGGATCTATAAGATCTATAAATCGTCCGATATTTCCCATGTCAGCTATATATATTCGCCATGTTGTGAATTATATACTAGTAAAATTATGTAGAAGAATAATTTCATAGTTTCATTCAAATACCTTAAATTTGTTCCAAAACAAATATCGCACATCTGAGCTTATGATTCTCAACTGGTTTAAACATCCCCGGAACGAAGTGACTTCTACCGGCCAGGTCTTAGCAATGTGTTGTAGTACAAAAGTTGCAAGTCATTGTTTATTAGTGTTCAAAGTTAGTAACTGATCATATATATTTACTGGTCATAGATACTTACTGGCCATTGATAATAAGTGGTCATAGATACTTACTGTTCAGAGTTACTTATTGCTCATAATTACTTAATGCTCATAGTTACTTAGTGCTCATAGTTTAATTCCCAACTGGTTCAAACATCCCCGGAACGAAGTGACTTCTGCCGGCCAAGTCTCAGAAATGTGTTGTGTTACAAAAGTTGCAAGTCATTGTTTATTAGTGTTCAAAGTTAGTAACTGATCATATATATTTACTGGTCATAGATACTTACTGGCCATTGATAATAAGTGGTCATAGATACTTACTGTTCAGAGTTACTTATTACTCATAATTACTTAATGCTCATAGTTACTTAGTGCTCATAGTTAATTGCTGATCATAGTTACTCACTGATCCAAAATCACATCTCGTACATATACCTATAATTCCCAACAGGTTCAAACATCCCCGGAACGAAGTGACTTCTGCCGGCCAAGTCTCAGAAATGTGTTGTGTTACAAAAGTTGCAAGTCATTGTTTATTAGTGTTCAAAGTTAGAAACTGCTCATAATGCATACTAACTGCTCATAGATACTTACTTATCATAGCTAGTTACTCGTCATAGCTACTACTGTTCAGAGTTACTTACTGCGCTTAGTTACTTACTGCTCATAGCTAGTTACTGGTCATAGATACTTAGTCTTCAGAGTTACTTACTGCTCATAGTTAATTGCTGATCAAAGTTACAAAATGGGCATAGTTACTCACTGATCCAAAATCACATCTCTCACATATGTTCCTATAATTCCCAACTGGTTTAAACATCCCCGGAGCGAAGTGACTTCTGCCGGCCAAGTTACAGATATGTGTTGTGTTACAAAAGGTGCAAGTCATTGTTTATTTGTGTTCAAAGTTAGTAACTGATCATACATACTTAGTGGTTACTTACTGGTCGTAGATACTTACTCTTCAGAGTTACTTCCCAAAGATACTTACTTATCAGAGTTACTTATTGCTCATAGTTACTTACGGCTCATAGATACTGTTCAGAGTTTTATTTTGAATCTGAATTTAAATCTTTCTTTATAGAGTGATGTGGTTAATATTATATGATAAAATATATACAAATATAAGTGCTTAGATATTGTGCAATTCACTTAACAGAAAAAAAGAATTTAATAAAATTAATTAATTGTAATACTATATGTATTTAACTACTAATATTATTGATCTAATTTAAGCAGGGTTAAATAACAATTTTAATAAATTATTGATCATTGCAAGGACATCGAAAAGTAGAAGAAAAAAAAAAAAAGAACCAAGATGACCCTTCTTAAACTTACACTAAAAACCTATTAGTGTCTCAACTTCATTGGTTTGAAAAGACTCAAAAATTTGATTGTTCCCTGGAGGTTAAATGCAATATCATTATCTATTGATGGCTTGCAGCTTTAGTTCCCTGCCCCGTTTACTTCTTCTGGGTCTGTCATTTACCAGCCTTCCTTTTCTGTTTGATCAATACTACTAGAACTCACTGTCGGGCTGCAGTTTTCCCAGTCCTCCGTCTCCATCTCCGGCCTCATTGCACGGCACACAGTCGAAGAGATTGAGGTTGTAGAACTCGTTCTTGACGCACTGTATCGGATTCTGGAAGCGGAACGTGTGCGGGGTTGGCACCTGCGTTGGATTTGGCGTTGGTGTGGCCAGGGAGCAGCTTCCCAGCTGGAAAAGCAGCGCAATCCAGGTGATTGGGAAGCACCAATGGGGAACCTTATGAGGGAAGCACATCGTCCTGTTCTAATTTGCAGAGCTGCTGTTCTCCGAAGCCACTGGCCCGCAATTCAAATGGAAACTGAGCCCGCTGCCACATACACATCGATTGCAGCTGCACCCCAGAAGGCGCCAAGGAAGGCAAGTAAACAATTGCCGGAGGGGTGGGAGCGATGTTGCCATAGCTACCCAACCCAGGCACGCATGCAAAATGGCCATTATCCGGGGCTGGGCCAAAGGTGGTTGCTCCCTTGCCGACTGGTAAGAAAATCGCTCTGACCAGGCCACCAAGACAAGTGTAATGAGTCGCTGAGACTTGTTACACCTTGCTTTAACCAATGTCCCGTTGAGTTCCACCTCTCCTTTGCGTGCTGAAAATTATGATTGCCATCATTACATTCCCAGCATTTTGCATACGATTTGTGGGTAAATATGGCAAAGAGCTATTTTTGAAATAAAATTAAAGTGAAGAAATCACGGTCGAAACCGTCCACACTTGTTCCTTGAATTATTGATTTAATTGGACTACAAAGTTTTAAATATTTTTAACGAGAATTACCCTTATTAGCTAAATGAAATTTACTAAAAACTTTATTTTTTGGGTTACACCAAAACGGATATGGCAGGTTTTAGTTAAGATTCAGTCTGGGAAGTAAAGGTTGTTCTATATAGATTAAAAATGTAGAGCTTAGATTCCTGTAACTGAAGTTTTCTCAAATATTCCTTCCTAAGTTCATTCGTTACATACCGTTACATACAATTTTAAATTCTATAAGCTTTTTTTGTCCAGGTGGTAACATCGTTCAAGATGGCAGCTCTGGCAGATCAAACTTCAATGCGAGGGTTAATTTCCAATTTCAAATCTAACGGTACCAAGGATAAAAATAATTGTAAATAAATATTAATTTGTACAAATGTCTAATTTATTTAGTTTACAAATGCATATAAAATTAAACAGTACATAAATATGGGTACCAGATCGTCCTATTTTAAGACATTCGAGTGCTCAGCAAGGCGGTCACACTATTGGCCTCCCTCCCCCACTTCCTTGCAAGGACAACACAATTTGACGGCGGACACATACACTTTTTTTCCCCCGTTTTGGGCCCGCCAGCTAGCCCAGTCTCGTCCCCCGATCTGACTGGTCCAGTCACCAGCACCCAATTCGCACTCGTTTCCACAATGCTTCGCAAGCGCCGCGCCGATTAGATGCCGCCAAAGAGACAGCAGCCAGACTTCCGCAGTCCCAGCCGAAAATGAACAATTTGGTGAGTGGGTGGCGGCGAGGGGATGTGGATGGGGTGTGTCTGTGCCCCGCAACTCCCAGTGACTGAGCGGAGTATGTACATATATTAATCGTTGTTTTATTTGTTCGTTGCAGGATCACGTAAAGCACTTCTACCCAGACAACTACAAATTGGATCTGTCCGAGACGATGAAGGCGGCTCTGTCAAAGGGACCCGGTGGCGGGGAGGCGTTGCAGGAGCGGATATGCTGCCGCAGCCGAATGCCGGAATGCCGGGCGTGGGCTATGTGACGGAGAAGCTGTACATGCTGTTGCAGCTATATTTGCAGAACAAGGGCTGGAATCCGAGCGCCGAGCTGCTGCAGTGCTTCAGCGATCTCAAAGACAACGCTATGCTTCCCAGCGCCGCATATCTGCAGTGAGTATAGCAGAGCTGCTCCGTTTTCCAAACCCATCTAAATATCACTCACTCTTCCCTGCAGGGTTCTGGCTAACCGCCTGACTCTGGACTCTCAAGGTAGGCTCATCCTGCGGGACAATGGCAAGATTGTGCTGCCATTTGAGCACTTCGCTAACGCAGTAATGCTGAAACACATGTCTGGACCCCATGGTCTCCACCTGAGCGTGGATGCCACAGTGCGAGCCGTTATCGAGTCCTACACCATCGGCCGGGACCAATTCGGCATGGAAAAGGAGTTCATCATCGAGGTGGTGCAATCATGCCCCAGTCCCGCCTGCCGCTACTACAAGAACCACATGGGCATCTCGCCAATGCCGTTCATGGAGCAGCAGTATCCAGGCGTCAGCACGCCCGAGTTTCTCCAGCGCCTGTCCCACCTGCCGCCCAGTGGAACAGCTGGAGCCGGGCCAGGCAGCTCGGCTGCAGGCTCTGCATCGAGCGTTGCAAGCAGCTCAAGTTCGGGTAATGTGGAGATCGATCTTTCCAAGTCGACGGGCTCCAAGGTGCCGCAGGTGCCAGTTCCGCCACAGTTGCAACATCTTACCAAACAGCAACAGAACAGTATCCAGACTCAGTTGTCGCAGATTAGCGCCGCCGCTGCCCATCACCAACAGCAGCAGCAACAACAACAGCAGCAGCAGCAACAACAGCAGCAGCAGCAACAGCAACAACAACAGCAACAACAGGCCCAGGCACAGGCCAAGCACCAGCAACAGCAGCTGACTGCTGCATTAATCCAACAGCAGAACCGCGTCCTCGCCCAACAAAGCCTTGAAAAGCTTAGCAATCTTAGCCCACTGGAGAAGCAGCGGGTTTTCGCCCAGCTGGACCCCAAACACTTCGATCCCATGGCTGTGGCGGCAGCAGCCGCCAACCTGCAAATCCAGGGTCTGATGCAATCGCAGGCAGTGGCAGCCGCAGTCGCCGCAAACCAGCAGCCAGCGGCCGCCACCAGCACATCCTCGGTAGGAAGCTCAGGAGTCGTTCCGCAAACCCATGGTCATGGTCATCATGCGCTGCCACCGCCCTCGCAGTCGCCGCATTCATCGTCCTCGTCTTCCTCACATTCCTCGCTGGATCAGATTACCCACAAGAACGTGGCCGAATCATTGCGGTGAGTATGCTAAAAGTCATCTGGTAATATTATATAAAGATTATATGTATATAAATTCAACTAGACTATGGAGTCTCATAGTTTTTGATGGCACGGTTTCAGTTCTAAGCTCAGGAAGTCTAATTAGTGTGGACAATTGAGTGAATGAATAACGAAATTTCCAACTTTATACATACATGTATACATACATTAATATTTATAATAACGTTTATCTTCCTTATTTGTTTATATTATGTTCCCCTCTAATACCTTATAGTTCCAATCTGGATTCAATAGAGTCTAACAAAGATCTACTTGCGCTGCACAATGGAGCCTGGGCCACTGGCGATGCTAACCGCATAGACCACATGGCCGTGGGCCAGGACAAAATTGTGCGGATATTTGCGGAGCTAATGCGGAACATGTCGCGAATGAAGACCTACATACGTCCCTCGATGTGCAAACCCTATGGAAAGCAGAGCGAGAGCTTGCAAAAGAGTGAGTACCAGAGTAACCGGTTTTGATTGCAAGTGATCTTAGATACAATGCCTCCCCATCCGTCCTGTGCAGCCCTCATGGACACCATTCAGATCGTGCAGACGCTGCGCAACTGCTTGCCCGCACCTCACATACCAGTCTCCTCGTGGAAGAGCGAGAGCGAGGGCAACGTGGGATCAGGAGTGGGAGTTGGCGTTGGAGTGGGAGTGGGTGTTCCACCAGGACTTAACCTGAGCGCCGCATTGGGTCTGCCGTCGAACAGGGTGGACAACATGCACTAGGCAGCAATATCTCCTTGCAGATTCTTCCAAAAGTTTGAAAACACTTGGTACTCACACACAGACATACGTACATCTAGATAATAACGATGATAGCAGTTCACCCTCTTAGGCTTGGCTCCAGTTTTCCTTTTAGCAATTATGTATGTGCCATGTTCAACGCAAAAGCAAGACTTGATTTTCTTCATAATTGACTGACAATTAGGTATATGCAGACACATGCATATGTATTGAATCCTGCGGCTGGATTCGTCCGATTTCATTCTCACTCACTACTCACTGTTTCCCGATTCGGCATACAAACAAAATTAACAAGCAAAATGGCAAATTAGTTAAACAATTGGCAAAACGTCTGTGATATTTAAATTATGTTGGCAAACGGAAAGCAAAACTAAATTTAATTTATTATTTTGTGTGTGCCCTCTGTTGTTGTGACTGTCTTATGATTACTTTGTGCAATATCTATCCACTAAGCATTTATTATATCTATTCTTTAGCCTTTAGCCATTCTCGTGCAATCGACGACTTCTCGCCCATATCAAATCGAATATAGCCTATACTTAAACTAACCTAACTAACTGATAATCGACATGATAGACGCATAAGAGTAACATTATATTTTGCATTGGGAGGACTCCTGAACGGGAAGTTTGATTGCAAATGGAACGGAAAACGAGTTGTGTTTAAATTTAAGAATCAGAAGCAGAAGGGTTGTATTCCTCCGCATGCAAAGGCTACTTAAATATATTTTACCCCGCCCGAGCTCACCATTAAAGTAATTCGATTAAAGACAAGCAAACAGTATTATACGCAATAAAAAGACACCTATTGGCAACCATAAGTATTTACCTAGATGAAGTGAGGGAATTTATCGTAACATACCATATTATCGCTTAATGTTTATCTTCCGGACTTAATATTAAATAAATATTTTATTCTACGACAAATAATGGATTCGAAATTGTGCTAGAGGTTTATTTGGAGTTCTTTTGAAATTAAATTTAATATTAATTACTTCAAAGTCAACATCGGTTAACCCAAAGCACTGATTTTACTGTCTCGACCAGGAAGTCCCTTTTAAAATGAGCTTTCCACACGAAATCCGATTGGTGCTCTTCATGTTCTATATGATGGAGGCGGTGGCCCACATGGTTCTGATGCGATTCAACGTGACCGGATTCTATGTGGTTTACAAGAACCCTCTACCGCTGCTCCTTGAGTTGCCTTACTTCTGCTATCTGGGGTGCGTCTATATCTTTGGAGTGCTAAATCTGCTTGCTGGCGTGAATATATGCACAAGTGAACATCCTTCCATCCTGGGAGAAGTCCTGCGCTCGCTAATTAGCTGCTTTGTCTATGTGATTTGCTCAATGCTGATGCTATTTGACGCTGAATCGGATCTCAACGATATCATAGCCACTAAAAAGCCAAACGATTTGATACCGCTGGAGGAAGTCCTGCACCCATATTTCAAGTACAACCATCTAGAGTCCCAGGGAATGGCGTCTATGGTGTGCAGTGGGATTCATATGCTACACTACCTCGTCGCAATTTATGTCCTGAGTTGCAGGAGGATACCGAATATAATCTGGGGAGCATGGTGCCGTATTGGATACAAAACGATCAGTCGGTCTAGGATTATATTAGCTCAGAGGACAAAGGTACTTAAGATGTACAATTTACCTTTGTTTCTCATTTAAGTAATATCTTAATTTCATTACGATCTTCACAGCATCCTCGCTCTTCAAGTTATCCACACCCCCATCAGTTTGCCAAAGCTTTCTAGGATCAAAACATAGTAATCTTTGCCTCTTATTTGCTACAAATACAAACGGTATAAATACAATACAATAAAGTATATTTAATGGGGTAAAAATATTTAAAACGAATATTAAATATACATTTTTTAGCAGCGCAAACATTGGGGACATGTATTTTACACCCTTTTTGAAAAATAGAGCTTTCGCGGCCTTACATACGATTGAAATAACAGCGACGAGAACAAAACGAGTGGCAAGCGAAAAAGCAACGAGAGCCTACTCTTTGTTTTTATTGGAGTGGCGTTTTGGAATTTTCCCGTTCTCAATTTACGGTCACACAGTGCGCACCGAGCAGTGCGTTTTTCGTTGATAATTTTTAAATTTATTTATTAGTTTATTGGTTCGAAAGAGAGCTGCCCCACCTGTTTTTGACCCCGCCCGGGCACCCTCGGCCCACCGCCTCGCACGCGTACTATCGGATATCGATATCTGCTGACGGTAATTGGAGAACGTTTTTTCCATTTTATCTCCTCCTTTTCCCACTTCGTTTCGTGCCCTGCCTCCGCTCCCGCTGCCAGTTCCAGCAGCTAGCCGTGTGTGTTGTGTGTGTCTGTGAAATCGCATAAAGATCGCATCGCATATGGGCGACGGCCCAAATGCAATAAGAATGTGTGTGCAATAATATAAAAGGAACGGAACGGAAGGGCCTGTGCCTGGTTCGGTTCGGTTGGGTTGCTGCCCAAAACATGAAAATGGTGCTAGACGACGCCGTGCCGAGCTGGCATATTTTGGTGAGCGACGCCGTCGACGCGTTTTGTCCCGGCCGCGGACTGTGCGCGAGGAATTTACAACAAAAACAATGAAAATCGTATTTAAATTGCCTGAGACAGACACTGGAAATGCGAATTACAGTAAAATATCGAGGGCGCAATGTGCGAGGGATTTATACCCGAAATGTTTTTCTTTGAAGGCCCTGTCTAAATGACGTCACAAGCGTAACAAGTGCAACAGACAACAATGACCGATGAGCATAAAAGTAACAACAACAGCAGCAACTCAAACTCCAACTCCAGCAGCAGTAATATCAACAACAACAACAACCAGAATACCAACAACAGTAACAGCAACGCAAATAGCAGCAGCAGCAGCAACAACAACGGCAACGAAAGCAACAACAACTGCAGCATAATTGCAGAGGCGGCAGCCAAGTTTTTACTGAAAAATGGTCTGAACGGCAGCTTTCCCGTGCCACCGCCCCAGACGACCAGGACGCAGACGCTAACGACGACGCCGACGCCCTCATCCAGCTCCAGCTCCAGTTCCACCCCTCAAATGGCTTTTTGCCGCATGCCAGCACGCCCACAGCCAAGACACCCAGAAGAAGCAGCAACAGTATGGCGGCCTCCGCTGCGGTGGCCGCGTCAAGCGTTGGAGCTCTCGCTAAGCCCAGCGTCGATGTCCTGGGCGGCGTTCTCGACTACAGTTCCTTAGGCAGTGCCGCCGCTGCAGCCGCTGGTTCTCTGCCGCCCACGGGCTCGGCAGCGGTACCGGGAACGGTAACCGCGAAGAGCGGCAAGGGCAGCGGGATCGGCTCCAGCGCCAGCTCCAGTTCCAGCAGCTTTGATATGGGCAGGCATCCGATATCTACTCACAGCAACAGCAACAACAGCTGGGGCGGCTACGGTGGCCGTTTGCAGTTCTTCAAAGGCAAGTTCTCAAGCTTTACTCTCTCCCAACTTCTGCTAGATGATAAAATTAATATCGAAAATTCTTATTTTGTGCCTTAACCACCAGATGGCAAGTTCATATTGGAACTGGCACGCTCCAAGGAGGGCGATAAGAGCGGCTGGGTCTCGGTCACGCGCAAAACCTTTCGCCCGCCCTCGGCTGCCACCTCGGCCACTGTGACTCCGACGTCGGCGGTGACCACAACGTATCCAAAGAACGAGAATTCCACATCGCTAAGCTGTACGTATCCTAAATAGTTCGTAAATCTTAGGTCCCTAAAGCATTATTTTCCAGGATAAATTCTTATTAAACACCAATACCCTTAGACAAAACCCAATTGGTCATTAAAACTTTGCGCTAATACATTTGCACTTTCCATTGCAGTTTCGGATGACAACAGCTCGATACAATCTTCGCCCTGGCAGAGAGATCAGCCCTGGAAACAGTCCAGACCCCGTCGCGGCATCTCGAAAGAGCTGTCGCTGTACTATCATCGTCCCAGAAACAGTGCGTTGGCCGCACCTGCGCTCCAAACAGCCTCCCGTAAGCGGCGACGACCCCATGAGCCACTGTCCACAAGCGAGGAGCAACAGCCCATCTTCGAGACAGCTGTGAAAGTGGAAAATGGCGACGAGACGCTTAAAGCGGAAGCTTCACCAGAGACAGAGACAGGTGAAGGTGGCGCCACGGCGGTAGCCTTAGAAAATGAGATTAAAACTAACCAAGCTGAAACGATCAAAGCCAAGGAAGATGTTCCAGGGCCCAATAAGGAGCCCAAGGTGGAGGAGAGTGATGATAACGAGTCAGGCGAAGCGGTGCCCACTCCAAAGGTTGAGGCACAGCCAAAAGACGAGACTATGGAGAAGATGAACACAAGCGAGGATGAGGAGGTCACGCCACCGCATCCGGTATTGGTCAGCTCGAGTGCCGTGAACGGTGGTGGCGGTGGTGACCTGAACGGCAACACGAAGGCGGTTCTCGGAAAAACAAAGCCGAAACCCCGGCCTAGGCTAAGCAATATCATTCAAAAACTAATTGATGGCGTGCCAGCACGCCTTGAGCAAATGTCCAAGACACCGGCAGCAGCAGTAGCCACAGCGACAACAGAGCGTGGCGGTGGCGGAGCAATTGGCAGTCTAAGTCACTCTTTGACGCACAAGGTAAGATTCTAAAAAAGCAAACAGAAAAAAGCAGCCTTACTGACCATTGGTACCTACTATTTTTCTAGGTCTCTCCTCCCTCGTCGGCATCGCCAGCCAGTCGTCTAGTCGAGTACCACCACCAGCACGTGTCGCCTCGAAAACGCATCCTTCGCGAGTTCGAGAAGGTGTCGCTGGAGGACAACGGCTGCGTGAATAACGGCAGCGGAGGGGGAAGCACAGGCAGCGGAGCAGGCGGCAAAAGAAGCCGTGCAAAGGCTTCGACATCGTCAACGACTGGCAAGGCGGCGCCTATGAATCTGGCCCCGCCTCAAGGTAAGCCAAATCCCAGTCCCGGTTCCAGCGCCGCCAGTACATCGCCAGCCGCTGTGTCCGCTCCACCAACTCGGCTAAACAGCTCCTACAGCATCCATTCGCTGTTAGGTGGGTGCAGTGGCAGCAGTAGCTCTTCCTCTTCCTCTGCTAAGAAGAGCGCCGACCACCCGGCCGCCATTATCAGCAATGTGCATCACCCGCACCACACCCTGTACCAGCACAGCTCCACGAGCTATCCACGCGCCCTGCTCAGCTCTCCCAAATCTCCGGATGTGAGTGGCAGCAATGGAGGTGGCGGGGGAAAGTCTCCTTCCCATGCTGGAGCCAAGAAGCGTTCGCCACCGTACACGGCGGGGTCACCGTTACCCGTGGACTATGGTCAGTCTTTCTACAGGGATCCCTATGCAGCAGCGGGCGCGGTGGCAGGTCGTCCTTCCACAACGAGCTCGGCGTCGCAAGACCTTTCGCCGCCTCGCTCATCACCAGCTTCGCCTGCCACCACGCCGCGTACAGTGCCCAAAAAGACTGCATCGATTCGTCGGGAGTTCGCCTCGCCGTCGGCCAGCAGCAGTAGTTGTCCTTCGCCCGGTGACCGAAGTACCTCGCCACCGGACCGCAGGCATATGCAGCAACAACAGCAGCAGTCGCACCTGCAGCGCAGCTCGCCACTCCATTACTACATGTATCCGCCGCCGCCCCAAATGAACGGCAACGGTTCGAGTGGCAGTCCGACCTCGGCACCCGGTACGTCCGGAAGCGCAGCTGCGGCAGCGGCGGCAGCAGCAGCGGCCGCAGCCGCCTACATTCCCTCGTCGCTATACCACCCGTACATATCCACGCTGGCGGCCCTGCGGCATCCGCTTTGGATGCACCATTACCAGACAGGAGCGGCGCCTCTGCTTTCTCCACATCCGCAGGCCGGCAGCTCGGCGGTTTCTGCTGCTGCTGCGAGACTGTCGCCACCATCGCCGTATCATGCATTTCCCTACAACGGAGCGGCCGCTGTGGCGGCAGCTGCAGCTGCTGCCGCCGCCTTTGGGCAGCCAGGTCCCAGTCCTCACACCCATCCGCACCTGGCCCATCATCCTCACCAGCATCCGCACCCGGCTGCATTGATCACCACCACCCACCACTCGCCCGCTCACATGGCCACGCCAAAACTGACTGATAGTAGTACCGACCAAATGTCTGCAGCGTCCAGTCATCGCACCGCCTCCACTTCGCCGACCAGCTCGAGCGCTTCCGCCTCCTCCTTGGCGGCCGCTCCTGGCGCCAGCTCCTCCGCAATGTTTCATACTAGTAGCCTAAGGAATGAACAAAGTTCAGGTGAGCAACCAATCTGGTTACTACAGCATTGTAGTAAAAATAGATAAACATACAATATGTATTTTAGTTTCCTGCATCAACATTAAGTGTTCATTTTTGCATTTATGTGTGAGATTTATGGTTGCTATCCTTGTGAGGAATCTTTAATGGATTATAAACAGCCTTTGTAAAATTTGGATTTCTTTCTTCTCACTCCAGACTTACCACTGAATCTGTCAAAGCACTGAGACATACACACGCCCCAGCTGCCCCAGTTTCTGGGCCAACCATTGAGTTAAGTACATTACCGCATGAGTAGCGCTTAAGACGACATTCAACTACACGTAAAATTATCTCATAAGTTTGCTGCTAGTTTAGTTTTAACCTAATTGTTTTAGCCTAACTCTAATCTCGACTAAGGCCCAAAATTAAAACTACAAATATGAAAAAAGGGAAGGAAACTACGAAAAAGAAACTCAATCAAGTGTTTTTTAGCCGTTCCAAAAACGTTTCTATATAATCAGTTAAAAAAAATGGAATTTTGACTAACATATTTAATATGCTAAGGAACTTCATTCTATGCCAACTAATGAAAATACAACTATTTACAGCATTTTTCTGTAGGATGTATAAAATGCAAGTCTTGAAGAATCTCAAAAAAAAAAGAGTTACGTTTTTTTTCATCAAAACATTTCCTTGAAACAGACTGAACCTGAATTTTTTTATAAAAAAAAAACATAAAACACCTAAGTTATAGATCGCAGCATCTAACTTTTTAAAGGGTATTTAACAAAACTACAAGAACAGATTTTTATAAAAAGCTCGTGCCTTTAAAGATTAAAAGAAAACTAGGGATACAAAAGAATAAATTAAAAACAAATTTGCTTAACAGATCGATAGGTATGGAAACATTAACAGATATTCTAAACATTTAGGTCCAATAAGGCAAAATCGCCAGCAATTTGTATTGAGTAGATTATATACAGGCTCTATACCGTATTCGCCACATTTCAGAGCGTATTATTTTTTAATTTTTAGAACCTATAAAATTTTGAAATTATTCAGAGATGCAGATTTTTCAAATGAATAAGATTCTCCATAGATAATTTTGGTGAGTTGCCAGTTATTCTATTTTTGGAACTCATCGACTTGCTCTATGCTAAGTAAATTGATATATTTTATTCCTTTTCCCAATATCATTTGTGAAGTTGAGGTTTAAATCGGTAACCGATCTAAAGTTAAACTTCACAATTATCTATCAAATATTGTATAGCTTTACTTAATACAAATTTATTGTCAGTGCTGCTGCCCAATCAAAAACAATTGAAAATGTACAAAAATGTAATAAACATATTTACACAAAAACACGGGGAACGCAAGAAAGATCCTAAAACAGACAAATTCAAACCGGAATTCGTACAACTGAAACTGATACAAATAAAAACAAAAACATAAACATATTCCTAAACGAAAAAAGACAAAAACAAAACGCGGTTTCTCATATTTTCTAAATTATTTATATAAAAATCAAATGACTATTTATATTTACTGGTATGTTAATGTGTAAGGAAATAGTTGTAATTGTAAATACAGTATTTTTACACAACAACAACAATAACAAAGTAAACCGATACACGAAGAAAAGTAACCAATATATTTAATATAAATATTTTTATAAAGGATTTTAACAAAATACTGTATATTTTACAGACTAAAAACTAAAGGATTCCATACGAGGTCGATAAGGGTTTGCACAATTACGCTATTGAAAGCAACGAGTGGCTTGCATAAAATCCTATCGGCTTTAAATTTCGGAAATATAAGTAATAACTTCTTGTTGTTAATATGAAGTGATCCGAAAAGCCGGTAGAATTTCAAGTAAGTTCCTCGGCGCTTTTACTTTGTAGTAAGCGTAAAAAAAACAACCTAAACGAATAAAATGAAAAATTTCCATGAAAATTCCATATACGGTCTTTACTACCTACTGATTAGTTAGCTAGGCGCCTAGGGACTATTATTTTATTTTTACTTTTATAACGGTACTGTGTACGACGTTTTTGTTTTATTGAATCGTAGTGCTTATAATGAAATATCGGACGAGAGTCGCTATTGTTAAACACATGTAACATGTGCATTGTCGAACAATGTGCGGCAAAAACCAGAAAATAATGTTGGCAAAAAGTGAAATATATATAAAATAATCGAGAGGGTTTCAATTATATGAAGTAATGCTGCATCTTTTGATGTTGAAATTCGTGTAAAGTAGCGGAAACAAAATTAATTTTAAAGAACTATATTTTATATAGGTATATATATATATATATACTGAAACTGAATACTTGATGTCAATAAAAAACTTATACTAAATGTATGACAACTAACTTATTAATTTTTTTACTTTACTTCGAATGGAGCCTTTAAAAAGTGATCTTTTGAGATATGGGATCTGTGAGAACTCGTTCGATATTGTTATCCTTGCTGCTCGACGTTAAATTGAAACAAGTCCGCCCTGTAAGGTTTTCTGTAACCAAAGAACAATAAGAGCCACTTTGGTAAACTTTTTTTTAGGAAGACACTCCATTTCCAGCTCTGTAAATTTGTTTAGCTACAAAATAAAATATACAAATGCGGTAATTTTAATCGTAGCAGCACATTGTTTCTATATTTTTCATGTTTTGAATAAATTGTATACATTCGTTCGTTTATGAATTTAAATAGTTTCATTTAATTGCAATTATCCAGTGATTTACACATTACGTTACAAATATTAAATAACATTATAAAACGAAACCGGATAACACAAAAATGTTGATGTTGGCGATCGAAGCAGACACGAAAAAATATATAGCAGACAATTAATCATAATTTAGGGATAGAAAATCGTTAATTTTAAACTTATAGAGTTAATGTCTCTTAAATTAATATAGCATAATAGGATACAAATTTTTGCACGTGCATGCGCGAGTGTGAAACGGCAAATGAATAACTAGACATCAAAACAATTCCGGGATCTAGGGGTCATTAATGATTAGAATTACAAGAATAGGTGAACACTTAACTGTACAAGGTGGACAGTAAATAATATTGGAGCACTTGTGGGAGCGACATTATCAGCTATGGGTCAGGGGTCGTCTGTGTGTGTGTGTGTGGGGGGGGGATGTGGATTGTGTATATTTCGGCCTAACATAGTGAACACATAGTTTTGAACTTTATGAATTAGATGCGAAATTGTACTACGCCTGCTGCATGGGCACAGAGGGCAACAAAGGGCCAGGCGGCAGGCGACATGCAGAAAAGAAAGGTTGATCCATTTAGTTGTGTTGCGAGATGTTCGGACTGTGAAACGATGACGATTCATGATGCCGGCGTGTGTAGATGTTTACTGTTTGTTGTTTTTGGAGAAATTGTGCGAGGCCCAGTTGAGGGATGTCTTCCAGGAGTTGGCCAAAGCTTCGCTGAATTTCGCTCGGAAATGTTCGCGTGCTTTCTCCTCCGAATAGTCCAGCACCTGAATTGGAACGATTGAGAGTCGATTAGGATCTAAAATTCTGAAATATAGTAGTTAGAAGACATACTAAAGTCTCACGAAGGTAGTTCAAGTCCTTTTCAGAAGACAGTTCTGGCAGTCCCGTTGAAATCATCATTGAAAACAGCGATAAAATAAGGCAGCCGTGTTTCCGTAAAACTAAAAAGGCCTGCAAAATGTTTGTTGAAATGTGTTAGGTATTGCTACGATTTTGGTAAGGATATTTATTTGACTTACGCGCTCGCACAATTCTTGAAAGCGTCGAAACTCGTCCGACTCCCGGTCCTTGTCTTTGTCTTTGCAGCCTTTGTTGATTACGTAGACGAAGTCATGGGTTAACACGAAGGGCACTCGCTCCCGACGCACGCCAAACTTCTCCTTGAAGTGGCCCAGAATATGACCAAAGTCAATGTGAAAGAGCTGAGGAGAAACACAAATATTGAATGTAAAATGATTTCAATTAATAAAGATTCCCTCTTTAACCCACCTGTCCGTTCTTTTTCACCATTATATTGTCTGAATGACGATCTGCCACGCCCAGAACGTAGGTGGCCACGCAGTAGCCAGCGCAGCTGAGCGTGAACTCGTTGATGGCTTGGTTCAGCTTATCGGGCAGCTTATTGTGCTCTTTGAGCCAACTGAAGAGGGAGCCCTTCTTGAAAGGCGACGTCGCTGAGAACATGCCCTTTTCCTTTTGTATGTTAGCAATAGTCTCTGCGTGCCGCACAACCTCGATCATGCCGAGCCTTTGCTCCATGCTAATGCAGTTGTAGATGTTCATCCGGAAGTCCATTCTGTGTAGAGTGGGAAAAAAGTTTATTTAGTCCAGTTCTGAAATCCCTTGGTATATTAATGTCTTACCCATTGCGCTTCCATAGCTGGTCCATCACTCTCAGCATCTGCAAGGTTAGCATGTCCTGGCGTAAATCGTCGCCGTTCTTGAAAATGATGTGCACATCGTCGGAGTTCAGGTCCGCATTCTCAAACGCCACCCACAGCGGCTTCATTTTGCTATCCATCACCTTGCACTTGTCTGGTGAGACGCCGTTACAGCGAAAGCTGGGATTGAGCGGATTCTGGATGTTCTGGAAGACGCCTTCATTGCGCTGGTCGCGCAGAAAGTTCTGCAACAAACTCTTGACCTTTTCCTTGCTGCCGTGTTTCACAATGACGGAACCTTGTTTCAGCTTCTCCAGCATATGCAGCTGTTTGCGAAGAGGCGCCACGTGATGCTTGCAGCCCTTGAGGTAGACCTCCAGCAGGAGACCGAATCGCATTTGTATGGACGGCGTCTGCATCTCGGAGCGCAGATGCCAGAAGAAGTAGTGCCCAATGCGCTGATTGCGCATCGCTCGCTCTAGCAGGAACACTACCAGATCGCTGGCCAAATACGATTCGTGCTTGATGGCCTGAACCAGTTGGAGTAGGTACAGCAGAAGGTCCTCGTCCCTGTGGGGTGAACATTTTAAAATAATTAACCTTATTTTAAATTTAAAGCAGTTTTCAATATATCGATCCTTTATCTATATTTAAAGCAAGAGCAGCTCGTCTGCCTCTTAGATTCTTAATAAAATAGTATATCTTTTAGTTAGGAATCTATATTCATTGCTGATCAAGCTAAAACCCAGGAACCTTAATAGGTGCTTAAAAGAAACCTGAGGCTAATTTGAACCACTCATCAACTAGACAAGAAATGTTTAAAACTGAAAGATGTATTGATAATATTGATATGTTGCTTACGTGAGAGAGTGCAGACATCTGATGGCAAATCTTCGTACGGCTGGGTCCGGATAGGCGTAATCTAGCAGTTCCAGAGAGCGTTCAATAGAGATGAGCTCCCAATTGCTGAGCAGGAACCATATATCGGCCACATCGTCGCGCTCTTTCCAGTAAACGCAGTGCAGAAGGATAGACAATTCCTCAGGTAATTTACGCTGAATGATTTCCCTAATTAAAATAAATTTAGTTCCTGTTACAGCCAAGTAATTCGTTTTGAATGTAGCACTCGTTACCTGCGTTCCCAGATGGCATTTCGATCCTGGTCGACCATTTCGTAGATCTTATCAAGACCGGTGTAGTTGGCTATCAGATCCTTGAGATACTTCTCCGGCTCGGCCCAGTGCTGCTGCTTTTCTTGCCTTCTGACAAGGGCGCGCTCCTCGGCGTACTGCAGCACAATTTCCTCGGTGGGGTAGCGCACGGTTCCGGTTCCACTGCTCTGGAATGTGATGTCCACCAGGGCGCACTCCTCTTTAAGCGGATTCGGTTCGACAGTTCCAAGTGGGTGGAAGACCTCATCCGATTGGATGTCGTCCGCATACGTCCACGTGTAGAGCGTCTGGCGACCGGTGTGCAGGTTATCCTTGTAGTCAAACAGCGTTGTGTTCACCCAGGCCAATGGATTCTTGTTGTAGGAGACGTCCTTCAGCGCGATATCCTTGTTGTTGGATGACTTCTTGGATCGCGACATTTTGGTCACCTCGAATATCACGATGCACAGTCGCGTCATCCGTGGCAAGTTGCGCATCTGTATGTCGAAGTCCATTACGTGGTCGTTGAACAGAAACGTATCGAAGTTGCCATTGGGCGAGTCGATCGACCTCTGTGCGCAGAGCATACGGTCCCCATGAAAGAGGCCCACGTGCACGCCCACCTTGAAGGCGCGCGTCCTGTCATAGTTCACGTTAGAGATGCTGTGCAGCGTCAGCTGGAAGTAGTTGCCCATGTCCCACAGCGAGATGGGTGGCCGTGAGGGCACAACGGACTGCTTCCGCGGAGGCCCCTTTGGCACCATATTCTGCTCATTGTGGTAGTTAATGTAAGACTCCAGGCGGTAAACCGACTGCAGCACCACATTGGGCACCGCCGAATCGGAGAGCATTTCCTGGATGTACAGGAACTGGATCAGCGGGTAGTTGCCGAGCAGGTACTCGTCGCGGCCGCTCACCTTGAGTATGTAGTCGGCGGCTCGGTCGTTCATTTTGATTTGGGAGCGGTTCATCTTCTGCAGGGTGCTCTCGGTCAACGAATAGGGCGTATCATGCTCGTTCACAGACAGCGTAAAGGTGCTCTGGTCGTTCTCGTTTTTCACCACGATGAGGAACGCTCGGGTTGGATGCCGCTCGCGTATCAGGTCGGGCATTTTCGTCGAGTTAGCCAGCCGCAGCGGGTGCTCGTAGAGCAGGCGGTCCTGCCAGGTGTATTTGGCACGCTTCGTCTCAATGTTATCGCAGATCTGTGACATGTTCAGCCGGAAGTCGTCGATCTCAGGCGTACCCTGTGTCCGATGGTGATCGAAGGACTTGCCGATCATTCCGCTAACCATCTTGGTAAGCTCGTAGTCGCTGGAGAAACTGTTGGCGTCGGTACGATCGCCAAGGGTGAGCAGTCCGAAGTATGGTTGGACCTCGCACAGGCGTTTTGTCTCGTCCGTGTACGGCTCAATGTTGAAGGTCGATATGCCGTACACCTGGTAGTCGCAGGCGTCCTTGATCATGTAGCATGGCTCACTCTGCTTGGCCAACTCGACCATGTTCACCTTCACATCCCGAATTGTGGTCGTTGAGGGGGCCTTAAGCATTCGGAGATGCCCGTTGGGCAGCAGGCAGATGAGATCCACAAAGTCGGGAGGATCGTTTTTCCACAGGTTGACGGAGAAACGCATGCAGAACTCCTCCATGTTGTCCAACGGCACCTCGACGGTCTGGTTATGGTGCTGCGGGTACAGCATGTATGTCTCCATCATGTTGACGGCGGCGCCTTAGATCAGGGCTTTCGCGGTATTGTCCCAACTGGGTTCGAGTTGTGTATGATTACCGATCTGCGGCTAGTTCGTCGTCGACGTGTTCACTCTCCGCTCTTGAGGCTGCTCCGGCTCCACTGTCCGGCGTTGCATGCAGTTGTTAGTTTGGTTCTCGCTCTTGTCGTTATCAACAGCCCTCTGTTGTTTTCAAAGTTTTCCATTTAAATCAGCGCCGCAGTCTCATTGTTAGTCATGCCGATCTCTGTGAATAATAAATCAGAAGGTGGCGCCGGCCCGGGTTACTCGAAAGCAAAAATACGGCGATTGCCGATCGTCTGTTTGGTGTTCAATTGCGGAAAATACGAAAAATCACCAGCCAGCCTGCAGATAAGAAGGCGAAACCAGCCCATTGCTTAACTCTTAGACATTAATAGAGGCAGGCCTCTATCGGTTTTATCCGTCTCGATCTACCTGGGAATCTCATTTACCGAAGGAGATTTTTCAAATAGCTATCTGAAAACGACATCTTTGCTTTCCGCTTAAATCCAAAAACGTTTTTATATTTAGTATGAATCACACAGCTATAAGTTAGGGGGAGGGGTCAACTTAAAAACAAAAACAAGTATAAAGACGGGCGGAGCAAGGCGACCCTATAATACCCTAACTTTCACTGCCAAGAGCTTAGTCAGCAAACGGTTAGAACTCGACGCTTTTCGTTAGTAGAATTCGAATTATCAATATGCGAAGTGGTTTGTTTTGCAGGCACAGTTCACAGGCGACGGGGCAAATTCCACCAACAAACAGGTGGAGTTTAGCCCGCAGAAAGGGTATACAAAAGTACAAGGCATCATCTCCCAGTCGTGGTGGCCACAAATGGAAAGTGCATTCGCCGTCACCGCCACTCTGGAGAAACATGCGCCCGCAGAGGAATTAACGGCCACCCCAAACATTTCAACGCACTAGTTTCCACTGGCTTTTCGCCGCGTCCCATTTGTTTTTGTTTTGCCATCTCCATTTTGGCCAGTCTTCGTCTTTATCACTTTTTCTGGGTGTGAGCTTTGCAGAGGTGCCGCTGCTGCTTACTTGGTTTCCCGAACCGGCATCCATTGGTGGCCACGAAAGGCCATTATGTGCTGCACTTTTTTCACAAACGCACCTTACGATCGGAGCACATTGAAGTTTTGATTAAAGAATATTTAATTGCTTTTATTTGGATTGTTGTGCAGTGTGACCGCGACTCGCCTGCTGAAAAATACCAGACGTCTGCTCAAATATGCCATGTAACGTCTAGTAGTGTCATATCAATCATTTCAATTAATAGCTTATAATATTCAATAACTTTTAATGTAGAATAAGCTTATAAATAATTAAGACTTCTGACTGCGTTTTATTGCTCTGTTTTTCGGCATGTAAGTAAGTTTAGACGATTCGTGAACAAACCTATCTGCCACAGGGTGTGTAGTGCATTGGTTTAGTAGCTAGTGATGAACATTGGGCGATAGTCGTACCGGTTTTTATATACGTGTTTTGTAGGGTGACCGTTTGGGGAAAAACAAAATGCTCACATGGCTTCCATTTTTTTTTGGTTTTTTCATTTATGATGTAGAAGTCTGCCTAAGATTGTTTTGTTATGAATAATAAATAAAACACAAAAACAATAGAAGATGGAGTTTAAATCGGGTGCTGAGATTTCACTGGAAAACTACGTACAGCCTCCGGAAACAGAAGGTGAATGCCTGCTACCAGGTAAATACATATTTAAGGCAAACTTTGTAAGCCTACTTTAAAAGAAGGGATTATCCTAAAGATTTGAATGAGCAGCCATTAGACGACATGATGCAAAGTAAATTGGAGCCTGAAATTGTACTCGAAGACTTCGGACACCAACAGCAGACTCCAGCTGAATTCATGCAGTCTGCCATCCAAGGTAAATATTAAAGGTAATTTCCCTTTAAGAACTTACTTTAAACATGTTTCTCCCAAAGATTTCAATCAGCAGTCACAAAGATCAGAGAAGCGCATCATTTCTTTCATTCGAGGTAATATTTTCAGCAACAAAATAACTCATTAGGTTTCATGTCGTATTTCGGTTTTTCAGAAGAGAATAAATCTCTGCGGGCCGAGATCGCAAGTCTAAATTCAAAACTAGCATGGCTCGCCGAAACTGTTGTCGGAATAAAGGATATATTGAATAAAGGACCACAGGGCCAAGACTTTGAGCGCAGCGACTTGAACTTTCCACTAAAGACAGAGTTCGATCTTTCTTTTATTGACAAGGAAATTGGGGAGTCACCGACTTTCAAAAATGAATGCGTAAGTCAATATTAGGCTTTAATCTGATTAATGTAGTAAATATCCATTATTCCATGATTCACAGATCAAAGAAATGAGGACTCTATTCGGCCTTAAGGCGCTGTCCAAGTCATTAACAAGTGTAATGTCTCCAGAATTAGTCTTAGACTATAACGTTGATGGCGTAGCAAGCAAGAAGAGCCTGCGTGACTACAGATTCTTTTTTGCCGCTCTTACAGGTATAGTATATAAGAAAATATTTTGTAAATACTTAATAACAATAAAATCTTATTTCAGATGCAATTCGACAGGCAGACAGTTCGCAGCCAGCGATAAAGTTACTCCAAAAAGCAATGCACTGCGTTAAAAATAACGCTTGCAAAAGAAAATCAAGAATGGATCAAGAGACGAAAAGTAAAAAGGCTAGAGTAGAGCACTGAACTAAGCATAAACATAAGAAATAATACTAAGAATATAACCTTAACGTAGTGCCTTATTTATTGGGAACCAATTTTTTGAGAAATACGTACAGTTTGTCACGTAATTCTTTGCAAAACGAATAATTCCCTCATAATTTTGGGTTTAAACTGAAACTTTATTGACAAATACAAGAATTTTTTAAAATTTTCTTTTATAATATTATTAGGATAACTTTAATCTATAAATATAAAAAACGAAACTTAAATATTTTATCTTAAAACATAGTAAAAATAGCAATAACAAAAACATTGCAATTCGTATGCTGTCAATTAATTCTTTGCAAAATGCAAACAGGAGTTGAAGAGGTTCCTAGAATTAAGCAACGCAAAGCTAATTCTGAGGAAAATTAACGCTTGCCACTTCTTAGTGGTCTTTACTTTTATATTCTTGAAAGATTTCGTTGGAAAAAGTTCGTGTTTGATCGAGTCCAGAATTTAAATCATGCCCGGCAAACGTATTGACGACAATAATATAGAATTGGTTTACTTTAACCATTATAAAGGGTAATCGGCGTCGGAACATTCAGAAATTTTTGATATTAAGTTAGGAACAATGTATAAAATAATTAAACGGTCTAAAAAGAAAAATAGACTTGACCTGTACAATTCTACAGGCAGATTACCAAAAGCTCTCCAAACACGACCATTATAAAATTTCGAAACAAATTGATAAAAACACGCCAACAACCCTCAGAAAGTTGGCTTTGGACTTAAAAAATGATTGCAGAAAAACAGGTTGCCATGAGACTGTGAGGAAAGTCCTGAATCTCCACAAATACTCCTCACACATTGCCAGGAAGAAACCAATGCTTTCAGCTATAAATATTGAATGGCGGTTTAATTTCTCTATCGGCCACGTTAACCAGCCTCCTGAGTATGGGGATGAAGTTTTTTTTGTGACGAGACTAAAATAATGCTATACACTCATGGATGACCCAATAAAGTTTGGAGGAAACCAAACACAGGTGTCCAGCCGAAGAATATCATACCAACATTCAAACTTGGCAAGTTTTCTGTGATGATAAGGGGGTGCATATCATCCAAAGGAGTTGGTGAGCTGCGGATTTTTAATGATATAATGACGAAGGAGTTTTATTTGGACATCCTTAAAAAGGAATTGACCAGAAGCGCGGAGAAATTTGGTCTGCATGACGTAACTTGTCCAAAAAGAAATAAATATTAACTGCACCAGGAAAACAAACTCCAGTTCAAATCGCAGCTGTGCAGGACCTGGCTCCTGTTAATTGCAAAAAAGTCATTGACACTCCTGCGGAAAGCCCATATATAAATATAAATAGAAAATTTTTGGGATTTTTTGGAAAAGAAAGTGACTAAACGGACTCCAACAAATAAAAAGGGTTTAATTAAAGTAATAGAGGAGAAATGGGAGAAAATTCCAGAATATTACGACTTGAAAGGGCTAATAATGCCAATGTCGCGACGCCTCCATGCTGTAATTGATGCAAATGGACTCCATATAAAATATTAACGCCGCAGCTATTATAATTTTTAAGTTATCCTTGGTTAACTATAACGTCTTTGCAAATTGCAAAGAATTAATTGACAGCATACGAATTGCAATGTTTTTGTTTTTGTTATTTTTTACTATGTTTTAAGATAAAATATTTAAGTTTTTTTTTTTTATATCTATAGATTACAGTTATCCTAATAATATTATAAAAGAAAATTTTTAAAAATTCTTGTATTTGTCAAAAATTTTTCAGTTAAAACCCAAAATTGTGAGGGATTTTTCGTTTTGCAAAGAATTACTTGACAAACTGTATGCATGACGAAGTCACCGGTGAGTCAATCAGACGCATATGTGATTCAGTGTTTGGGGACGAAATCCGGATTACGCATCATAAAACTAAAAAATCCATTGGGTACCTGAATCCTGGCATACTTTTAAAGAAATAAACATGATTTCTGATCAGTAATGGTGCAGTAAGTTAGTAGTATATTCAATTATATATATATTAAATATAAAATTAGATATACTAAGGACGACAAATATAAAATGTATATGGTCGAATATACAATTTAGAAAGATATTTAAATATTACAACGATCAATCACATTTAATTGGTAATGTTATCGCCAAAATACATGTGGTGAAATTCTAAAACTCAACTATCTGGTATAAAAAATACGGAAGATAAATTCTAGGATAAGGAAGGTTGTGAGCTTTGGTCTCACTAGAAAAAATGTAAACAAAGTGAAAATTTCGCGAAATGTTAAAATAAATTAAATTTCATCAAAAAGAAGGGCTGTTTTTGCCCAATCAACTCTAACCGATAAAGTAAAGTGCAGAAAATAATGAATAAAGCAAAGGTTCCGTGAAAAACATACGACAAAAAGAAATGAGCGATTCGGATGAAGGTAAAATACATATGTGAAAAAATGTATACATATATAATCTGCACAGCTTTAAGTTGTATTTTAGTAAGTGCACTTGGTTTAGGAAACGTGTTAAAGTTCATTAAAGTGGCACAAGTGGCTAAGTGGCTTCGGGTGGCGCAATTAATTTCTTAACAAATTGTTATTGGTTTTTCAACAACACCACAGGGTGACTATTGTGATGTGTGCGCTGCAAATATGGGCGCGCAAAACTATTTATTTGAATGGCCACTGCCCACAGAGAAGCAACTGGTGCGCTGCAACCACTGGGCCATTCGACACCCATACGAAAGCAAACACGACAAAACAAGTGCCACACAACCGACCCAATGCCAGTCCTTGACCACGTGCAACAGTTGCCCCATGTCTCTTCAGTTGCGTCTTGCGCAGTGCGTCAAAATACGGCTTGGATCAATGACCAGAGAAAACGTGGCCCGGGCAACGCATCAATGAATGGCCATCGATTTTCCCCATCGCACTCGCCTCAGTTCAGCTTTTGCCAGCGCCGCGGTCGGTTCTCTTCGCCGGTCCCGATGCCATAAACTATCAATTGGGTTCTCTGGGTTCTGGCTCGGCCGCTAGGATCTAGGTTACATAATAATGTCTTGGAAGTTTAGCATGGAACAGCCCAAGCCTGGCACCGAAACTGCTCTGGAGGCCTGCGACTATTTCGTTGATGAGGTCATTGAGGTGTCCTCAGTCCGGGGTGGGAAATTAAGACATCACCGAAAGGGTGTTGGCCAGGACCTATGTTTGATGAATATATTTATGTTACTTTGCAGACGCGCGGGAGGAGGTGCGCCAGATCAAGCACGGAGAGCTCAGAGCTGCAGTAAGTGCCGGAGATGAGCGGACGGTCCGAGTTCTGCTGGCGGCCCTGGGAACGGAACGGCAGATTATTGTCAATATGGCGCCTTCGGGAGCTAATACCCTGCTCTTTATGTGAGTAAATATACACAATGCAAGTGCTTACGCTAATATTGTTAAATTCCTTCCAGATCGTGTCAGTCTGGCTACGAGAGCATTACCCAGAGACTGTTGGACGCTGGAGCCGATGGTCGCTCCCATGCGGTCACCAAATACTCCCCGCTATACGCTGCCGTTCACAGCGGGCACTTGGGCATCGCCCGGCTGATGCTGGACCGCTTTCCGGAATTGATCCAGCAACCGACTGTGGAGCGCTGGTTGCCGCTGCATGCGGCCTGCATTAACGGACACATCAAGCTGCTGGAGCTGCTCATTGGCTACAGCTATCCAGACTACCTCTACCAAACATATCGCGACGAGGAGGGCTTGTGGGAGTGGAGGCTGCCATTCGATGCCAACGCCCACGATGTGACCGGGCAGACTAGTCTATATATAGCCAGCATCCTCGGCAATAAGCAGCTGGTCGGAGTACTGCTCAAGTGGCAGCTCCACTGCCGGCGCACGTTGGGTGATTCGAATTCCGCCAGCTCGGTGAGCACTCCCATTACGCCGACCAGAAAACGCATTTCGTTTGGCATCCAGGCCATCATGTCCAAGCTGCACATATCCGGCGAATCGGATGGCCCCGAGGAGCAGGCTACTCAAGAGTCAACGGAGTGCCAGCGATGTCCGGTCAACGTCAATCTGCTGTGTGGAGCGGCGAGGGAAACGGCTCTGCTGGCCGCGGTTCGGGGCGGACACCTAGACGTAGTGCAAGCTCTACTGCAGCATGGTGCCAATCCGAATATTGTCGCCAAGCCAGTTGAAGATCACAACGACCCCAAGTGCTGTGAGGAGATCTACGGCCTGAGCAATGTTCCGATTGCCGAGGCCTGCAAGCAAAGGTCGTTGGCCATGTTGGACCTCTTGCTAAAGCACGGAGCCCGCGATGACAACGGTTCGGCCATCGGAATGGCCATTTCTGGCGGAGATGAGGCCATACTTAGTCGTCTCTTGGCTCGACGCGTCCATCCGGACTCCGACTACAAAATCAACAAGAAAGGCCTGCCCACTCCAGTGGAGGTGAATGTGTTCCTGCCGTCCACCAGCAACATATCGTACAGCGCCATGTTTCCCAATGTGCCGACCATTATTGACTGGCACAGCCTGGGCTCCAGTGTTCAGTTGTCGGTGGTTAGAGTTCCGTGGCTAGTCAGTGGAGTCTTGCTGCTGAATCCCAAGCTGCAGTCGCACCCTAGGCTGACCGAGGTCTCGCTGACTGCCATCACTCGCATCGACTTCTCGCACAATGTTCTCACAGCGATTCCACCGGAGCTGTTCCACCTGGTTAGTCTCAAGTAAGTGAATGTCCTGACATTGTGATAAGCTGTTAGATTTACATATATTTGTTCCCTTAGGTATCTGAATGTTGCCCAAAATAAGATCACCGAGCTGCCGGCCCCTATGCAAGGAGCTAAGGGATACGCCTGTCCCGTGCTGGACGAGCTCTTTCTGCAGGACAACCAGTTAACCAACCTGCCAGCGGCCGTCTTTCACCTGCCCGCACTCACCATTCTCGACGTATCGAATAACAAACTGCAGGAGCTCCCGTTCGACTTGTGGCGCGCGCCCAAGCTGCGCGAGCTTAATGTGGCCTTCAACTTGCTGCGAGACTTGCCAGTGCCGCCCATGCAGACGAGCAGCTCCTTGCTGAGTCTGGACAAGCTGCAACTGCAGTCGTTTGAGGAGCCTCAGTCCAACAAGCCGCGTAATGTGACCCAGCAGCGCCTCACCCATCGCAATCTCTGGTCGGCTTCGCTGGATATAACCGACAACGACATGAAGTGGCAGCAGCACGAGCAGGATTTCGGCGATGGGAAGTCGGGCCCGGGCGTGGGAAGCTCCTCGCAATTAAGCAGCCTGAATATAGCAAACAATCTGTTTACCAGCATTCCGGCAGCATTGCCTTGCCTGGCAGTCAGCTTGACCAGACTCAACATGTCATACAACAGCCTGCGCTCCATGGGTCACGTGACCAGCTATCCAGCCACGCTCAAGCAGCTGGATTTGAGCCACAACGAGATATCGTGCTGGCCAAGCTTGCCTCGAATTACGGAATCGGATCCGCATCTACTGTGCTACAGCTATGTTCAGCTGCCGGAGAGTCGGCAGGAGGAAGAGGTAGCCTACAAGACGTCGTCCTCAAAGGGCAGCTGTTCATCTGTCAGCTCCTTCCGAGCTTCGGTGCTAAAGAGCGTATGCCGGCACAGGCGTCATTTGCGCTTGGAATCGCTGCGCACGCTCATCCTGGCGGACAACCTTCTCACCCGCATCCAGCTGTCCACGGACGATGCCACCACCCTCTTTAACGAGAGCGAGGATGCTGACTGGAGTGTGGTGGGTGTAAATCGGTCCAAAGTGATCTTCCCCAATCTCTCCATGCTGGACATGACCAACAATTGTCTTAAAGAGATCCCCGCCTCGCTGCACGAACTGAGTAGTCTGTCGGTGCTGAACATTAGCGGAAATGTAAACATCACGGAGCTGCCGCCACATCTGGGATTGTTGTCGCGGCTGTGGAACCTAAACACACGCGGCTGCCTGTTGCAAGAGCCACTGCGTTCCATGATTGAAAGCAAGAAGCACAAGACTATGGACATCGTGGGATACCTTAAGTCTATCTACGAGGATGCCCAGCCGTACGCACGGATGAAGCTTATGGTGGTTGGCGTCGCTGGCATTGGCAAGAGTACCCTGCTCGACCTGCTGCGCCAGGGAGCTGGATCCGGCTCAAGCTCAAGTTCGCACCGATCTCGCGCCAGTGAAAACCATTGGGCCAAAAGGATGGGCCACGCACGCAGTACATCCCGGTCGCAGCGCAACTCTTCCGTATCCGCCTCGAATATATCCACGGTGGGTGTTGACATCGGGACCTGGATATGCGAGAAGCGAAAGCGGGCACCCGGTTCCCATGGCCCGGTAGTGTTTCGCACCTGGGACTTTGGCGGCCAGAAGGAGTACTACGCCACTCACCAGTACTTCCTGTCCAAGCGGAGTCTGTATCTGGTGCTCTGGCGCATCAGTGACGGCCATAAGGGTCTGGCCGAGCTGCTGCAGTGGCTAGGCAATATCCAGGCGAGGGCTCCCAACTCTCCCGTCATTATTGTCGGCACCCATTTTGATGCAGTGGGCGAGTCCATCTCTCCGCAGAAGGCGGAGCAGCTGCAACAGTTGATACGGGAAAAGTTCATAGCCATTCCGGATGCGGAGAAGATTGGGCTACCGCGGGTGATTGACTCGATAGAAATTAGTTGCCGCACCCTTCATAATATTCACTTGCTGGCCAACATAATCTATGATACCGCCATGCAGCTACGATCGCCGGGCTCAAAGGAACCCATGCTGCTCCAAAAGATTCCCGCTAGCTACATCGCCCTGGAGGATATTGTAAACGTAATTGCTTGCAATCTGCGTGCGGCTGGTCGAGATCCTGTCCTCGATGGGGAGCAGTATCGACGCCTGGTCACGGAACAGATGCGGCTGCACAACTACAAGAGCTTTCGAGATGCCGCTGAGCTGCAGCAGGCAACTACCTGGTGCCACGAAAATGGAGTTCTACTGCACTACGATGATGCCACGCTGAGGGACTACTACTTTCTCGATCCGCAGTGGCTTTGCGATATGTTGGCCCATGTGGTCACCGTGCGAGAGATAAATCCGTTTGCCCCGACGGGTGTAATGAAGCTGGATGATCTTCAGCTCTTGTTTCGGAGTGTACAGGTTCAGGGAAATGCCAATCGCAGGTAGGGATTATTACAGTTTTGTTTTGATTTAAGAATTAAAAGTAAATCTTATTCTTCCAGCTACATAGTCAGTTTACTGAACAAGTTTGAGGTTGCCCTAACTTGGGACTCACGAACTCTGCTCATTCCCTCACTGCTGCCACAGCAAGAGGCAACGACGCCCAACGCAGGCACTACAGTGAAGCTGTCACAGCGATCTCGTGGTCGTAATTTGGGTTGCTCCGTCTCGCAGGAAGTGAATCTCAATAACTTGATCTATGAGCCGAAATCAGCATCTCCATCTTTATCGGCTTCTACTTCGGCTGTTCAGGGCCTGAGGCGTGTTCTCCTTATGACCTATTTTCCATCCGGTTTCTGGTCACGCCTGATTACGCGGATACTGGCTGATGAGCAGATTATCGAGGCGATCCGAGGCGTCTACGTGGCTACACAAGATGTGAGTAGGAAAAATACATTAACTATTATTATAATGTTTATTATAAAATACTTACTATACATTATAGAAATTCGTGGACTTTGATTTGCGTACTTCCTTGGAGCAGGACACCCAGTGGAATCTGTGGCAGACGGGTTTAGCCCTTTACTATGGACCCATCCTAATATTTCGAATTTGGGAAGTACCCTTTCAGAGCTCGGAGCGCACGCAGCCTTTTCGGACGAATGGCAATCGCTTTAAGCTGAAGCTGGATGGAATTTGGAGTGACGTTAACCTGACCTCATCCAGCATTTTGGAGGTTTACTTTCCCCTGCTCCAGGTGAGCATATTGCAGGAAGTGGACGATAGAGAACGTCAGTTGTTGGCCGAGCTGCAGCCACAGATGTCGCAGATAGCCAAGCTCTTGGCTCTGGCCGTCGACCACATCGACTTGTTGCTGGAGGATTGGTACCCCTCGCTGGGCACTCGGTTCGTGCACACATCGGAAGGGCGTTTCCTGATCACGCGTCTGGTGCTGTGCCCACGTTGCCTTTGGAAGCTGCAATTGCAGCACAGCAACGAGCCAGCGGATCGAGAACTGCCACCCATTGGATGCAATAGGCCAAGTCGAAGTATTAGGCGTGGGGCAGGCGCCTATTTTCTGCATGGCGTTGGTGATCCCGGCGAAGATGGTGCTTTAAATGTATTCTCCGCCTATCTCAACGCTACTGCCCGTCGGGAGCGCCGCTCTGAGGATTCCCTCGGCGCAGGCTCTGATGCAGACTCCGGGGTGGGACCCGACTCAGCCGGTTCCTCACGCAATACTTCGGTAGATGGACACCCTGGCTATCCCTTGCCGGATAATTCCAATGTCTGCTATGCCTGGATGATCGAGGAGTGCATCTTGTCTGTTTACAACCAAAGCAAGCTCAGCTGTCCCGTGCATCTGGAACAATCGATGGCCCAGCTAGCTCCAGATGTCATATTTGCTGATATACCCGATAAGCACACCATTCCCACGGAATGCATCATCAAGGGATCCCTACTGGGTCGCGGGGCCTTCGGTTTCGTCTTTAAGGCCAGCTGCAAGATCAGAGGCGCCAGATCCTTTAAGCCGGTGGCCATGAAAATGCTTCAGCCAGTGCCACCAGGAGCCCGGGCCAAGGAGGTAAGTAGCATATATGCAAAAGTCTTATTTTATCTTTAAAACGAAATTTTAGATTTTAATATTAAACCATTTAATCATTTTGTATAACAATCATATCATATCCTCTTAATTTCCAGAGTGCTCTAATGGCCTACAAGGTGGCTCTGGGCAAGTGGGATCGTGATCCGTTGCAGCACTCCTGCAAGGCCTATTGCACTGCTCGCCAGGAGTTGGCCGTGCTGCTGACACTCAAGCATCCCAACATTGTGCCCCTGGTGGGGATCTGTATTAAGCCTTTGGCTCTTGTTTTGGAACTTGCGCCTCTTGGTGGTCTGGATGCCTTGCTGCGGCAGTACCGGCGCAGTGGAGCTCACATGGGTCCGCATACGTTCCAGACCCTCGTTCTGCAGGCGGCACGTGCCATCGAGTATCTACATCGAAGAAGAATCATATACCGTGATCTGAAGTCGGAGAACGTGTTGGTTTGGGAGTTACCGCAGCCGCACACGGAAGACAGTCCACGAAATCATGTGCACATTAAGATTGCAGATTATGGCATCAGCAGGCAAACGGCTCCCAGCGGATCGAAGGGTTTTGGAGGCACTGAGGGCTTCATGGCACCCGAAATAATACGTTACAATGGCGAAGAGGAGTACACTGAGAAGGTGGACTGCTTCTCCTTTGGCATGTTCATCTATGAGAATATCAGCCTGCGACAACCGTTCGAGGGCCACGAGTCCATCAAGGAGTGCATCTTGGAGGGCAGCCGTCCAGCTCTGACACAGCGAGAGACACAATTTCCCACTTGCTGCCTGGATCTAATGGTGCTATGTTGGCACGAGCAGCCACGTCGCCGGCCGACAGCGAGTCAGATTGTGTCCATACTTAGTGCCCCGGAGTGCATCCACCTGCTGGATGTGGTTGCTTTGCCACATACTGAGAAGATCGTGTGTGGAGTCTTCCGGTCGCTGGTGGGCGGTGCGAGTGAGGAGGAGCGATCCGGTCTGGAGTTGTGGCTACCCTCCTTTGGCTCTCGTATTGACATTCTGGACTGCACGCCGTCCGGCAGCCTGCTGCAGTGCAGCAGCATTAGTTGTTCGCCGCAGCCACAGGTGGCTCCGCCTAAAACGCCAGAGAATGGGGCTCACTCTCGAGCCCGGTCCGCGCAACGTTCGCCGAAAGTCAACATGTTGTGCTGCTGCTTGGTGGGCGATGCCATTTGGATGGGCGACGTTTCTGGCAACCTGCATGCCTATAGCACCTCCAGCTATGCCCACTTGTTCTCCTACATGCTCGATCCGGCCATCAAGTCAGCTGTGATAAGTCTAGTCCACATGGAGAAGATTGACCGTGTGGCCGTGGGCACGCACAATGGTCGCGTGTTTCTGGTAGATGCCACACAGATGCCCAGCAATTGCGCCTTTGCCGAGGGCTCATTCGTACTGACGGAGATCTGTTCCGGATTTGTGTTACACGCAGCCTGCTCTGTCTTTGTGGATGGGTAAGTGACCACATCGCCATCCCCTGAGTTCTATGTGATATCTCTTTTTATAGCACCTACGAGCTGTGGTGCGGCGAAATAGCCGGAAAGATAAATGTTTTTCCGCTCAACGAGACCGGAGTATCCGGTCACCAGGCTCTGTGTCATAGCGAGGAGCCCAATCTGATCGAGGACGTCAAGGTGGCCCGAATGTGCAGCAATGACAGTTACGTCTTCAGCTGCCTCTATCCCGGCTGCATGGTGTACCAGTGGGGCGTTGCCTCCAAGCGCATTGAAAACAAATTGGACTGCTCCAAGCTGTTGCCGTGTTCCGAGTCCCTGCAAAGCATCGCCCTCGATGAGCACGTGAACCTGATCAAGTGCCAGATTTCGGCTCTGGCGGCTCACAGTACGGAGCTGTACATTGGAACCACCTGGGGTTGCTTGATCGTGGCCGAGCTGCAGAGCCTGCGCCCAATAAGTGTTTTTCGGCCCTATGAAAACGAGGTAAGTCTGGGATGTCTACCTATGAGGGTTGATACTAAGCCCTTTTCCTGCGTCTCGCAGATAAAGTCCATCATAACGTTGTCCAATGATAAGGTGCCTCTGATCGCCACGATTGGTCGTCGGTACCGCTCTCTGATCTCACGCTACGTGGACTCGGCCGAGTCCTCCTCCGCCTGCTCAGCCGTGAGCACACCCACACATAGTGCAGGCAAATCCCTGCCACCGGCGGATGTGGACAATCACATCCATTGCCTGCTGTGGCGCGCCAAGCACTGGACATAAATTCGATCTCGCAAGGAGTATTTGTTGACGTTTTTTTTTAATATTACTAATTTACTTAACACGACACTGACAAAGCTGTTGAAAAAGGTGCTGGACATGAGGGATAGTCATTGCGATATTGTTGATATTTTTTTTAATTTTTTCGAAACTACAATTATAAGGTGCAATATAAATAATATACGCTTATATATTATCTATTTTAATATTCTTTTGAATTTTTATAAAGCAACCTTAAATATTAACCAGCAAAAGTGCAAGCGTTTTATGTAATAACATTTTACAATTTATTATTATTTAACAAGGAAACAAGAATATTCTAAAAATGATCAAATATTTATTTAACCAATTAAGTTATATGGTTTATTCAAACTAGTTCGTTTTATTTATATTTTATAAGCAAGCTTTTTCGCCATTCAGTGTCACTCCTGAACATTTTTTTGCGACGAAACCCCCTCGTGTCCCCAACCGAAAACATTCCAATTTTTCTTAATGACCTTTTAATGAATAAAAACTAAAAAATGTAATAAAATTAAATAATTAAGTCAGCCTACGATTCCGGAGCCATGGAAGCCACGGAGGACTGACGGCTGCGGGAGTATATGGAAGCCGAGCTCTTCAGCACCCGGATATAGTTGTTGAAATCGATGACGAACAGGAACTCTTCCTTGAGGGCCTCGCGTAGTGGCACCTGCAGGATAATACGTACTCAAGAATTTTGTAACAAAATCAGTTTAAAAACTTACGCGGTAGTGGTGCGCCTTCTTCATCACGAATAATACCCAGCTGATAATTCCGTAGAGGAGGGCACAGCAGCTGCCTACGAGAAGCACAAAGAAGACGCCTTCCAGGTTATTCATGTCCAGGGGCGTGGCATCCGGAGCATCCTCTTTGGTAGCACAAATACCGGTGCCCACCTCGTTCCACCACTTGTTTTTCATCTTTTCCAGGACTCCCTGTTCCTGAAGTTCCAGCAGGGCATTGTTGAATTTGTCGCGATGTGGCCAATCTGCAAGTGAAGCATCTTGTTAGAAAAGAATAATTCCATATGGAGAAGATTCTACTTTTTCGCATTGCTATGCCATATCCCTTCTCATCCAGTGCATCCCCGATCTTCTTTAGATTGCATTCACGCTTGGTATTATACTCGATGGAAGTCGATTCCATGAGGAAAGCGTAGTGCGTGTTAGTCTTCACTCTATTCACACCCTCCATGTTGTCTTCGGTGAGGTGTTCCGGATGCTCGGTCATAAATTTGTTCATTTTCTTGTAGCGCTCATCCTCAGATGTCTGAAAAGTAGTGGTCAGATATTATACCGAAAACATAATGCTTATTGGAGTACCAAAAAGAAGTTTCTAGTCGATCCGGTTCGTTTGGCGCCGTAGACCACACCGTCCTTGTTGTCAGCTAGATCGTCAACGCTATTGATCAGACTTTGGGGTTTCTCGATCGTCAAAAAGGCAGCCAAGTTGGCAGTGTAAGAGGAGACCACAATCAGAGTGAAGAACCACCAGAAACTGGCCACGGTACGCGTGGATAGGGCTCTGCATTAAAAATTAGGGAATAAAATATAACTCTCTAATTGCTGTATATGTTCAGCTTACTTTGGTCCGATCTCAGATCCCTGTTGAAGCAACGCTCCTGTTGTAAACCAAATGGAGTTGCCTATGGTGAATTGATTTTCCAGCTCTTCGGGCTCTTCAATACAAGGATAAGGGTTATCCCATTCGCTGGGTGACAAGCGGCCCAATATGAAGAAACTCATGGCCACGCCCAGAAATGAGAAGCCCAGGAACCACCATACCTCCTCCGAGAAGGGGTCCATGAAGGTAAAGAGCTCAGGAGTGGCTTTCTGAGGCTTCAGATACAGAATGGCGATGCCTGAAATATTAAGTAAAATAAATTAAGTAAAAAGAATTTAAAGAGCAAATGCTTCCTCATACCTAGATTCATAAATGGAATGGTAAAGTCTATGGCCTCTTCGCGCTCCGAGGTAATGGTCAAGTCCGTGATGGCCAAGTCAGCGCGCTGCAAGGTGAAAGAGTAATTAACTGGGCTTCCGTGTCTCGTTTTCCTCACCCACCCCCATCATAATCTCCCTCAACATGCCCGTGGATTCATTCGAGGTCTTATTGTATGACCCATAATCATTGCCGCCGTTCACGAAGGTGAAGTTAAATCCCAGTTTATCGGCCAGCTCCTTGATTAGATCCACGCCATAGCCCTCGTACTGACTATTGCCCTCCAGCTGTTTGTAGGTCTCCACCAGCTGGGCGTACGGTTTGTTCTGCAGTTGGAATGCGTTTCATCAAGATTGGGGAAATTGTTTTGGCTTCCTGGTGGCTGGGGCTACCTACCGGTACCGACAGCAAGATTATGAAGGTCTTATTGGCCAGCGAGTTGTCGATGTTGTCGAACTGGGCGGTAGTGGCTGCCAGTCGCTGGGCTCTGTAGTTCCTCTGCTCATCCCAGGTGCCCACCTTGACAATGCCCGAGGGCTGCAACTCTATGACATCCAGATGGTATCCCTTGCGTACGTTTCCCTCAAAGTAGATGGGTCCGGTGAGCAGATGTTCTGTAAGTCGAAGCTAATATCAAAGCGAGAAAATGAGTATTTATTTCGCAAGGACTTTCATTCGATTCATCCAACCGTTCGCATGTAGTTCTTAAAGGAGGAGCCATCATCCCGGACGCTTTCCGTGCGCTGGGAACAATTCTGGGACACAGGCTTGAAGGGAAGGTTCTTCAGGGTCTCTGCAAACAGCTGAACTGCATCATAGGTCAAAGCCATTTCCACGGTAACAGGACAGGAGCCTATATAAATTAATATTTTAAATTTAAACGAAAAATGTATATTTTTAGTGTCTAAATTGAGCTTTGCTCACCATTTCGAAACTCATCTTGCTCGGTGGGATATCCCAGTTTCATGAGCAGCTCCTTGACGGCCAGCTTCTCCGGCGAGAAGAGTCGCAGACCGGTTATGTTCGCCTCACTGTATTTGTACTCCTCCAAATCGAAGGAGTGAAAGTCCAAGTTGCCAATGATGTACTTGTAGTCTTCGTTGATTATTCCCACCTGCTGGGCCTGGTTCAGAAACTCCGGCATAGTTTCGCTGGAACCGACAACCACGATTCGGTTATCCACGGACTTTCTCACCCGGCGGAGTACCTGCTTGTAGTTGCCATTCAGTTGCATATCGTATCGCAGCACCGTGACCACGGGTCCATTCATGCCGAACATCGTAGTCAGCTCATTCAAAATGTTGAGGTAATCGGCTGCGAGTGGCGATGGAATTATTAAGAGATCTATTCATGTCCTGGACAATGGCGTCTCACCGGATTCGTAGAGGAATATGAAGCGTGTCCAATTAAACTCCGTAATGAGGCTATAAAGGGCCTTGGCCAGGTCGGCCGGATGCGGATGCAGATTGAATCCCTCGGCGTATTCGCTCATGTAGGAGTAGATGTGAGGTATGTCCATGGCATCGCATATGGACATCAAGTGAACGGCAGTGTGCCGTGATGAGGGTCCGAAGACACCCGCTACGCCGGTCTTGAGGAGAATGTTAAATTTACTTACACATATATATGTATATATATATATATCACAATAAAGTTTAAGGTATTCTTACTAAGAATAAATTAAAATTACCTCAAGCATTCTGCACAGTCTGCCGTAACTCTGATAGGCATCCCCATAGTTAACCTCAGCCTTCAGGGATGTCAACGCAGTGCCCACCTCTTGGTTAGCCACATCAATGGCATGGTCGAAGACAATGTTCATTTGGTCCGTGTTCTGGTCGGTGAGGAGGCCTGAAATTGAGAAATTCTCGCACATTCACTCAGTGCCGGCGTTTCGCTCTTGCCGTTTTTGTTTATAAACAACAACTTGACCTAATCGCCGTCCCATTCGGTCGGAAAACCCAAACAAACAAACAAATACTAAAACCATTTTATGAGCTTTCAGCGTTGATGGAACGAACAGCTTGTTCCCTTTATGAGAAATTAAAAATAAATCGCGCGTTGAAAACAGTTTGTTTGGAACTGCATAAAAAAAACTTTGCCCGCGACACACATTTTTCATTTGAGTTTTTCTATGGGTTTTCTTTTCGAAATTACTTACCAATTGGCACACTTCCCATATTTTGGAACTTGTCGTAGCCGCCAAAGTTGTCATATTGAGCGTTTTTGCCAGAAATTGTAATGCAAACAATAAGAAAAACTATTTTAAATTGATTGAAAGGCATTTTTGATCGAGTTTATTTTATACACATATATATATTTATATGTACATATTAGTTTAGAGAAAATAATAAACGTCTGCGATCAACACACAACCGAGCACGTTGAGTAAAAAGCCGCAACTGAGGGATGCTCCAAAATGTCAATTTGGAAAATATTTCGAGTGAAAGTTTTCGAAAGCTTTGAGCGAATATATGGATGTATCTCAAAATTAGTCCTCAGACTGTTCGTTCTCCTCAGAATCAGTTTGCAGCGAATCTATGGACTGCGATGAATTGCGGCTTCGGGAGTATATGGACTGGGCGCTCTTCAGGGCTCGTTCATTTTCCGAGAATCGGATGACAATTTTAAATTCCTCAACCAGAGCATCGCAAAAGGGAACCTAAGAAAGATTATCCTCATATATCTCAAAAGATACATAGATTTAGTTTGGTTTTTACCGCATAGAACTTGGCTTTCTTGAACACAAAGAAGCACCAGCATAGGATGGCAACGATTATTGAGATGACGGAGCCGACGGCCAGGACAGCGTAGATGCCACTGAGATTGTCCACACCCAGCTCTGAGGGGCCATCGGATTCGCTTTTTGCCTAAACAACAGCTTTATGACTTGTTCTAAATATTCATAAGGTACTTACACTACAAACTCCGGCTCCAACTTCGTTCCACCATTTGTTCTTCAGCCTGGCCAGGACACCTTGCTCCTGCAACTCCAACAGGGCATTGTTAAACTTGTCGCGATACGGCCAGTCTGGAGGAGCATCAATGAAATTACAGAGAATTTTGATATTTCCAATTGTTACTCACTCTTCACCATGGCTATGCCGTAACCCTTCTCGTCCAGGGCGTCACCCACTTTCGTCAGATTGCATTCTCGCACCGTATTGAATTCGATAGAGGTGGACTCCATGAGAAAGGCATACTTGGTGCCAGATTTGACCTTATCCACTCCATCCTGATTGTTGTCCATCAGCATCTCTGGATGGGCAGTCATGTACTCGTTCATTTTCATATAGATGGGATCCTCTGATGTCTAGAAGAATAGATATTTAGATCACAACTAGATCACAAAAGTCTGAAGTGGGTCTGGTTACCAAAAAGAAATTCCTTGTTGATCCAGTGCGCTTTGCTCCATACTGAACGCCGTCCTTGTTGTCGGCCAAATCTTCAACGCTGTTGATGGGACTCGTTGGATTCTCGATGGTCAAGAAGGCAGCCAAGTTGGCAGTGTAAGAAGATACCATGATGAGAGTGAAGAACCACCAAATAGCGGAGATTGTGCGGGTACTTAGAGCTCTAAGAAAAGAGGTTTGTTAATAAGTAGATTAAGAGATATTTGAAGAAGTGTCCTACTTGGGAGCGATTTCCGATCCTTGCTGCAGTAAAGCTCCTGTAGTAAACCACAGGGAATTGTTAATGGTAAATTGATTCTCCAGCTCCTCGGGTTCCTCGATGCATGGATATGGGTTGTCCCACTCTGTGGGCGAAAGTCGCCCCAGAATAAAGAAGCAGAGGGAGACGCCCACATAGGCTATGCCCAGGTAAAGCCACACCTCCGAAGAAAATGGGTCCATGAAGGAGAAAAGGGCTGGCGGAGCCTTCTGGGGTTTCACATATAAAATCGCTATGCCTGGCGTAAAAAGTACGTATAAAGATATTGCTGAATTATCTCTTAAGATATTATATCTCACCCAGATTCATGAAGGGTATGGAGAAATCTATGACTTCCTCCCGCTCCGATGTAATGGTGAGATCAGTGATGGCCAAGTCAGCTCTCTGGATGTAAAAATCTTTGTCAGTGAAAGGTCATTCGATTCTGTAACCAACTCACCCCTTCAACAATTTCCTTGAGCATTCCAGTAGTGGTGTTTGTGGTCTTATTAAAGGAACCGTAGTCATTGCCACCATCGTGGAATGTGAAGTTAAAGCCCAGTTTGTCGGCCAACTCCTTGATCAGATCCACTCCATAGCCCTGGTACTGATTGTTGCCAATAAGTGTGTCAATGCTCTCCACGAGACTGGCATAGGGTTTGGTCTGAAATGTAGGTTTTACTTAGGTATTTGTAATAACAGTTTAGTTCAGATTAACCCACGGCAACAGAGATTAAAACCTTGAAAGTTTTATTGACCAGCGACCCGTCATCGATGTCATTTAGGTTGATCACTTGGGGTGGCCGCTGGAACTCAAAATCCTTGCCATCTTCCCAGGTGCCAACCTTGACCAGTCCACTTGTCTGCAACTCGATGACATCGAATGTGATTCCTTTGCGAACATTTCCCTCAAAGTATATGCGGCCTGTGATCGTTTTCTCCTTTATTTCCAACTGCAATGATTATCCAAATTTGTTAGTATCTTATATAGTTAGATTTTTGAGTTTAGCCTACCGATCTCATATAATTCCTGAAGGTGGAACCATCGCGCTGTACATTGTCATGGCGCTCGGAGCAGTTGAGCATCTGGGGTTGATAGGGAAGATGTTTGGTTGTCTCTGCAATGACTCGCACAGCATCGTAGGTGAGAGCCATGGACATGGTGATCGATGAAGAGCCTACAGAGAATATTAGAAATGAAATCTGGTTGCTCCTGTCAGAGTGCAGGTTAATTTTATACCATTATTTGTGGGTTCACTTTCGCCCAGTTCATGGTGCAGCTTCTCGACTAGATCTCGCACCTCTTCTTGGTCAGGTGAAAACATTCTTATTCCCGTGATGTTAGCTTCACTGTACTTGTATTCCTCCAGTTCAAAGGTGTGCAGGTCCAAGTTGCCGATGATGTAAGTATAATCCTCGTTCATGATTCCCACTTGTTGGGCCTGACGCAGCAGCTCGGCCACTCCCTCTGTGGATCCCACGACCACGATGCGGCTGTCCTCCGATTTTCGAATTCGACGCAATACCGACTTGTAGTTGCCGTTCAGGTTGAGGTCGTACCGCATCACCTTGATGACGGGTCCCTTGATGCCGTAAAGAGTCATAAGATGGTCCAATATGTTCAGGTATTCAGCTTCGGTAAAAAGCTTCAAGTCAGTAGGCACTCCTAATGGCTTTGGAGAATTACTTACCCGATTCATAGCAGAATATGAAACGAGACCAATCAAACTGGTTGATAATGTCATAGAGGGCGTGTGCTATGTCCTCCGGATTCGGGTGCAGGTTGAAGCCATCGGCGTGGGCACCCCACGAGAGGTGCGGGTATATGAATGGAATATCTTTGGAATCGCAGGCGTTCAGCAGATGAGCGGCCGTGTGCTTGGCAGCCGGTCCAAAGACGGCACCCACTCCACCCTGGGAAGGGTGGTATTAATTAGGAAATTATATTTCTTAACCTTTGGCTCACCTGCATCAGCCTGCAGAGCTGGGCGAAGGCCTGCACCGAGTTCCCATAGGCCACCTGCTCCGTTTCGCCTACCAAGGGGACGCCCAGCTCATTGTTGACCACCGAAATGGCGTGCTCAAATGTCTGACGGATTCTATCGGTGGTGTCGTCGGTGATAAGGCCTGCATGCTTTTTTTGAGTCGAATAAATTCCAGAGAGGCAGCTGCCGAGAGCTCTTCGAGTTCTTTTACTCACCAAGACGAATGGCCTGGCCACTGACCGAGCCAAAGGAGCTGCCGCCATAGAACTGGGCCTGCACTTCCTTGAGGCATAGAAAAATCGGTAGAAGCCAGCAGAACTGCATTGTCCTCATTTATAGGAGTTTCGAATGGGAATCTTTCATTTCCCCTCGCCGTCGGCGGGTATATATAAATATATAGATATATTTTTGGATCACCCACTAGCGCGGTATCTTTGAAGTTCCTTAGTCGCCGAGCGCACGTTCCCAACTGAATGGGCGGGCACTCATAATTGCCTTACGAATTCCACTCAAAAAGTTTTCAAAAATATTTGTTGTGAACTTGAAAGCTGCCAGTGTTGGGAAATCATGCGTACTTTCGTATTAAAACCCAAAGTGCTTTGGTAATTTAAATTTAATTAGAATTATCACAAACATAAATTGCATCATAAACTAAACTATTGCAAGTTACATATCGTATAAATAGTTAAGGGCTATAGAAAATATATAAAGTAGCAAGTTATAATTTTTGGCACATATTCTTTGTAGTGAAGGGAGTCATCCCGTTCGATCCTCGGCATATATCTCTGGGCACTCGCCAATTTGCTGTTCTGTCAATTGAAAGCTGCAATCGAGATGGAACCATTAATGACAGTCGTTAGGGAAAAAGATAAGCTATACATATGTGGACTGCACTCCAACCCCGGTGGCATTCCAAGTGTCACGCACCAATTGCAGTTTCAATGGAAAGACAATTGGAGAAGTTTATCTCCCTGTCTTGAAACCGAACCAACTGCTGGGCATAAATCACCATTAATTAAGTGGGTGCCGGCGCCCAATTGAAGTGCGATGTCGTTGTTGGCACCACAGCATCAGGCCTGGGTAACGAGCTACAAGGAGCTGCGTACACACCCGACACCATCACTTTCTCCACTAAGTGACGCCCGAAGTGGAGCAATTAGAGCCTCGCCAGGGAGGTGCCACTGGGGTTGGGATCGCAATCGGGGTTGGGGATTGGGGTTGTTGGATGCGCACTCACCAACTGGCATGCCTCCGGTCTTTGGTCTAGGACTGCTTGGCATACGTCATGAATAATACTCTTAGGCTATAGCTGGGCAAGACCTCCCGCATCTACCACACGCTGCACTTTTTGGAGGGGTTCATCGGCGAGCCAGCGGGACATCGGAACTCCCGGGCAAAGTCCACGGAGTTCGATAGCGTTCCAATTACTCGAAAGCGACCCGGACTGTGGATGGCCGTGTTCAGTTTGTTCCGTATGGCCTCGGGTCGCATTGCTCCACACCACACCTGGCCAAAGTTGAGGAAGAAGAGCTGCGGCCCGGTCATATTGAGGCCCGGCAGAACCTCGTCCGGCACCTCGTTGGGGTGTTCCTGCATCCAACGCTGGTAGGCATGAAAAGCCTGGCGCAGGCCACCATTATCTGCGATATTTTCGCCTAGAAATTAATTTTAGAAAGTGAGAAATTTAGAGAAATTTTTATGCAATGGGTTTATGATCAAAATCCACATTACCTTGCGTGCTCTCGCCATTGAGAACGATACCCACTTCTTCCACCGTGTAGTTGCTGTACTGGGCGATGATGCAACGGGCGCGTTCGTCAAATCCCCGGATTGAGTAGTCCGTCCACCACTTGTGGATGTTACCGTTGCAGTCGAAAAGTCGTCCCTTGTCATCGAATCCATGGGTCAACTCGTGACCGATGACCACGCCAATGCCGCCAAAGTTTAGTGACTTGGGAAAGTGGCGGTGGTAGAAGGGCGGCTGCAGGATTCCGGCTGGGAACATTATCTGGTTCTTGTTGCGACTGTAGTAAGCATTCACAATGGCCGGTGCCGTCTGCCAGTTGGTCTTGTTGACCCGCTCGTGGAGCTTGGACTGCTCCGTTTTGGCCGTGTGGAGGAGGACATTGAGTGTGTTCTCAAAGTATTTCTCCGGATGGATTTCGATGCCCGCATACTTGCTGTTGAGCTCACCGGGATTGAGGATGAAGTCTGGGTAGCCAATTTTCAGGGACATGGCATTGACCTTCTCCTCCGCCAGCTGCTTGGTGGTTGTGTCCAGCCAGTCGGTGGTCTTGAGTATATCCCGGAAGGCCTGCTGTAAGTCGTGTGTCATCCGTAGGGTGTCCCGTTTGCTGTTGTTGTCGAAGTACCGGCTGACGAACATCGAACCCACCGCCATGCCCATGTTGGTGTTCACTTGGGCGATGCACACCTTCCAACGCTGCGGACTCTCCTCCCGACCGAACAGGGCATGATAGAAGTGCTGCTTGATGTCATCGAACCGATCGTCCACGTTGTTGATGCGATGCCGTACGAAGCGCCACATCATGTAGTTGGCCACGGTGCGGGGCTCCGTCTCCTCCAGCAGGGTCACCAACTTGTTCATGTACTCCACCGCGTAGATGACCACCTCTTCGGCACCGCTCACCTCACGATCCTGCAGATTCTGCAAGTAGGTGATCCACTTGATCTCCGGCACCAAAGTCTGAAGCTGATCCAGGGACATTCGCTTGTAGAGCTGCGGATTGAAATAATTAGAATAGTCTCGCTTGTCCCTTTGATTAACTTACCTTGGTCACGTTGAGTCGCTGCTCCGCCGGCGCTGTTATCCCCGCTAGCTGCGTCTCAAAAGCCACCAGCTCGCTGGCCACCCGCTGTGCGTCCGACTTGGAGGCTCCCATCTTGTGCATCACCTCGGACATGTAGCGTTGGTAGGCCTGCAGGTACTTGTTGTTGCTGGGCTGCAGGAAGTACTCCCTGGTAGGTAGACCCAGGCCCGTCTGGTCGAACTGCACGATGTTCTCCTCGGAGTTCTTGATGTCTGCTCCCACCCACTGGACGATGAGGATGTCGTTGTTGTAGCGCCGCAGAGTGGCGGCCAGGTTCTGCCAGTTGAAGTTGGCGTCGCTCCAATTATGGTCCAGGACGGGCCAGCCGCCCAGTTTCCGGATAAGCGTATGCAGTGGCACCAGGCCCCTCTTGGCGAGTAACTGGCTGTTTACACAGGAGCGGTATAGATTCTTGGCCTTCAGCTGGGCATCGTGCTGGGGCTGGAGCAGGTTAACAGTGGCCGCTTCGTGTATTCTTGGCTCCTCGGTGTCCGATTTTTCCTTGGACTTCTCCTTTGTCGAGACAGTGGGTGCAGCAGCTTCCTCCTCTTTGGTCTTCTCCCTGGTGGCATCGATGAGGCGTTTCCGCTTGGTTCCGTTGGTGTATCGCTTGTACCGCACGAGGACACGATTGAGCAACTGCCTGTGGCTGACGATGTGCCTCTTTAGACGTTCCACCCGCAGCTCCGCCGTCTGGTCCGCCTCGCTCCCGCTCTCGCCCTCTCCCTGCTCGTTGAGCTTGAAGAGCGTGTTCCGAACCCGACTCTTTCTCGGCTCAGGCGCTGGAGCAGGCGAATCATTCTTCTCCAGGAGATTGCGCAGCACCAGGTCAAGGCTTTCGCGCAGCATTTCAAAGGTGTCGAAGCCAGCTTTGTCCTTGGGTATCGGGTGCAGTTTCTCCCAGTTCCCACAGGCGTATTTGTAAAAGTCTACGCAGGGATCCACTTTGCTGTCCATGTACCGCTTCATGGTCATTGCCTGCGCCATGCGAATGCCCTCGCGAGTTCCCTCCTCGTTCCAAAAGCTCTGCAATGCGGCTGTAGCCTCATGGATCAAGGCCGCCTGATCTGAATTGGCCTCGCCGGACTGGCCCTCCGCTCCGCGTCGTTCCCTGTGCTGCCTGCTCCGCTCCAGCCAGTAGGCAGCCTCATCCTGAAAACGTTTCTTCTGTGGCAGGTTGGGACTGTTGCCTAAGGGCTTTATGTCTAGGTCAATGCCGAGACACTCTCGTGGAATGCCCTGCGGCAAGAAGGATGTGCGCGAGTCCTTCATCAGCGTGCTACGCTCCTCCAGCTCTAAGGTCTCGCCGTTTGCATACCGATAGGGCTGACATCGTCGATCACGTTCAGCAGCCATGAGTTCTTGATGGGCACGCTTGCCCGCCGGCAGCAGGAACTCCTCGTTGATTAGCTCGTTATAGGTGCTGCCCTCCGGCTGGAAGGCCTCATAGTTATCCAAGTAGCTGGGTACCTTCCCAGCGGACTCCCGTCGCTCGCGCATCCTCTGCTCGTTCAGCTGCAAAGCCTCCAGCATTCCGTCCAACCGCATGATCAGAATGAGCACCAGAGTCAGGGGCAACATCACCACTGGAAGCAGCAGAAGAAGTTTGCAACAGGTCAGGCCGGGGCACCACTGCACCCGACCCGTCCGCTGGTTAACGCCCAGTCCCAGCTTCACGCTCCGATCCTTGGACGGAAGCGGATGCGGATGCGAAGCAGGAGCTGGAGACCCGTGCACCGAGGGCATCGCTAGCTTTAGCTGGCTGTGGCGACTCATCCCACGAGCTGTCGTAATTGAGGAGCTCGCTGGCCTTTATACTTTAATTAAACGCAATTTTCGCGCGACGCAGTTTGGCGAACCGAACGGAACGTAATCTAAACCGAGAATGGAGAGCCGGAGAATGGCAGCCGGAGACCGGAGGCCGGATTTCGGAGACCAGCGATGGGAGGCTGGAGATCGCTAACCAGAGACTGGACGGCACAGAACTGCGGCCGAGTCGCGCTCGCATTGCCAACTGAAAGCGGTCGCATGGGATGCGCAATCACGGCGCGCGACAGCCAATTGAGTGGCGACAGCGGCAACTAGCGACATCAGCAGTAGCATCAGTCGCAGCAGCAGCAACATGAGCAGCAGCAACTGGCAACATCAGGCTGTAGCAACATCAGCGGCGCTTCAATGAGTGCCTTGGGGGTGGTTCTACCTTATCTTGATCCAAGATTTATGCAATGCTGATCTTGGGACAGGAAGTTTTTGGATTTCCCAACAGATACCTGCTCTGATTTGACCTATTAACCTCAATGATTTCATTAAATTGCCTTTATATCGCCGTTAATCAACAGGAACGACCACAAAGCCGATCGTTTAGAAATTTGTGTCATTATCACTCTGACTAGCCATAACAAACGTGCCGCGGTGGCAGGTCTACACGGAGAAATATATATTTCTATATTTAATCAATCAATCAAATCAATTAAATTAAAATTGGTTACAGGTCTAAAATAGTGTTCAATATTCTCTAAATTTGAATAAGTAATACAAATAATCTGTTATATTTAAGTGAAGTGGTGCTAAAAGCCAAAAATTTCTAGGCACTGAATTGGAATTATAATTAATTAGCTAAATCTTGAAGTAGTATTTTCTCTAGCCACTGTTTTGTTATTTTCTCATATAAATGCATTTCTAACATTTATTGCCGGCCTCTCCTATTTCAGAACTACAATCAGAACCCATTAATCTTCAGCTTTGAATTAATTAAAACATTCGAGATGTTTTGCCATTTCGCTTACATTTGTTTTCCGTGCACAACGGCTACCCATGCACCTCCGCATTGACCTCTGCCCGAAATAGCGTCTAAATTCAATCAATTTAATTTAATTTCACAAAACAATTGCTCAGACCAGTGACGGACACACTCGCGTGGATCCACTGGCTCGCAGCCAAGTGACTCTCGGGAGAATCCAAAACAGAGACAGATTTGCTCCGCTGGGAGATGGAATCGCCGCCCTTTCAGCGGCTCTCATAACTCAGCCGTTAAGCCGGGCCATTCAAGTGTAATGGAGATGGCGTCATTGGGCGCCACTAACTACTCCAGAGTCACACGTGTTCGGGTGGCTGTAATCCCCGTGCCACATAGTGTGGCACTATTTAAGGGGAATTAAAGCGCTGCGAGGCGTAACCGAAGCCCAAATTGGCCCTTCAGTGAGCGGCGCGGGAGCCGGGCATTTGGTTTGGGTTAGTATTACAAGATTATGCGGGTAATTGGCGGCATGCGATGCCATCTAATGTGCCCGGGCTCCGCCTCCCTTCGCTCCCAACACTTTGCATATGCTCGTTTGGGGAATAGGAGCTCGGGGGCTGGCTTTTGTTCACTTCATATATGGGTTTCACTCTCATGGACAGCGAACACGCAGGTGTATATAGTATATGTATGTAAGTACATATCTGTGCGAGATGAGTAGCGCCCGTGCCCGATGACGGGGGAAATGGTCATTGCTTTATATGCTAATTTCAGCCTTAAACCTTTTAATTAGCGACACTGACCGAGATTAGCTGAGACCGTGCTTCCATCTATCAATCTCGCACAGAGTGCGGCACACACTGCAACTGTGCCTGGGATGGCCTGGAGGCCCTGGTGCAAATGTTATGCAATTTGCCAACGCTCCGATGGATTCTAATTTCAATTGGCTTTTGTGTTCACTTGATCTGCGGTTCAAGACCAAATCGTCGACGAGTGACCCACTGAGCCAACATGCGATGCCCCACAACCACCCATTCGATGGCGGCATCAGGTTTGCCGGAGGTAAACGAACGAATCGTGAATCAATCAATTGATGTAAATAAACCCAGCGCCGGTCCGGGTATCGAGTATTGCTTGTACTCTCATATAGTGTATGCAATCAATTGCGGTTGTGTTTCGGGGGGGAACTCCGGATTGAACTAAGGTCGTCGACACCGGATCGATTAGGCTAACCCGTCGTCAGGCATTAATCATTACATGCTAACTTGCTATTAGAGATGATTGACCCTTTATCAGGGGAGGTGACCGACCACCTTGAATTGTAATTAAATTCATTATAGAGAATATTTTGTAGAGATAATGGCAATCAAGACCTGAACTTATATTTTATCAAGAACAACTGAATTTTTATCAGAAAGCCCTTCAAGGATACGCTAGTCTTGACTAGGATTAAGTTGGAACATTGACAGATTCCTTTGCCATATACAGTTTTCACAACCTTTAGATTTTCACTCAAAACTTATTACCCCTTTTCACATTTCCGCATGTCTAGTTTAACCTACTGCTGGGGAAAACAAGTTTCCACCTGGATTGCAATTCATCCTGATGCATGAAAGTGTTTCTAACTTTTCTCCTGGCCAAGCCGGTCGAGTACCAGTCATAAATTTAAGTCCATGGCACAGCCTGAACTTCGATACGGAAAACTGTCAAAAAGTCGTAAGGAACACTCACTCACACATTTTAACCAGCTGCGCTTGGACCACACTTCGCCACCTCAGATTTTATGGATCACTGGTCCCTGCTAGATGGATCCTAAATGCCTTGAGTCGATGCTTTTCCACGTTGCCGCCACGTTTCGGAGTCGTTCCAAAACTGATTTCAGCTCTGGCGTTGAACAGAGTTGCCCTGACGCCGGTGTACTTGGTACTGAGGCATCTGCTTGCAATTGTTTGGAAGTTTTGAGGCTGAGCTGGCTGCTGTTTTTATGCCCAGAAAACATATGATTGCAGCTGGAGCTGCTGAGTTCCAACTGGTGGAATCTGATTTCCGACTGATCCACTCCAACGATTGTGATTCACTGCCCAATCATTTGTTTTTCTTCTACAGGAGATCATCAGAAGCTGTATTTTTGAGAGTTGATCTTTTTTACAAAGCCGCCTTATTTACAAAGTACGCTGATGGGAATCAGTTTCCATATTCAATTTTGTATTTGAATAATTTGTTAAAGTTGAAAATTTTATAAGGGGTTCAAATTGTCAAAATTTGGCAAAAAATGTAATTTTTAAAATTTTAAAACGGAGTATGCAGATTTGTTAGACCTATTAAGGATAGTATAGTATAGTTTCCGAATTAAAATTAAATAATTTTTGGCATAGTTATGAAATTTTCAAAACTTTGATTCAGCGAAAAAATTAGCATATTAATTTTTGGCTTTATATACATATCTAGAATACAGGATTAGGTTTTCTTGGTGGTATAAAAATACCAAAAAGAGCTCCTCCACTGCATTTAAACTTCTGAAAAAAAATTAACAACGAAAATGAAATTTAATTTGTTGTTTAAATTTTAAATTATAATATAAAACCTGTGCATCTTTTCCTTTTTCTAAAGGAATTTCAAGACCGTTAAATTAACTTTAAAATTTCCTATTAAAGCATCTGAAAATATTCTCTCCCAAACATGTTTTCATTACTTATTAATGATAAATATTAGAATCACTGCGTGTGCCTCGTACTCATGTTTTCATACTTGTTTCCATTATAAAAAATGCTAATTACATTCATTGATCACAATGGCGCTATTGACAACTCCAACGCAGTCGGACATTATATTATTAATTTAAACCGCGTTCAAAGATCATAAATCAGTGGAGTTGGCTTTGTCTCCGCTTAGCCGCACAATTGTTGATTTATCCACTCACGTTATTCGTTGTCAGCTGACAAGAACATTTCAATTACACTTTGATTGGCCAAGACCACACCTGAACTTGGCTTATTGTCAGACATGCTTGTTCGGGGTCGCCCTTTTCCTGGGAATTTAGAATTTCAGATGGACACCGACTGTTTGCTGAATAAATTGATTTGTTTTATACGATTGCCCTTTATGGGGCCATTTAATAATTAAGCACTCGGTTTGTGGCCCGTGGAGGTTTAATTAAGTTGAGTGGACGATGGCGAAGGGTGCTAAGAACTTCGTTATGTGCAGTTAATGTATTTAAATTCTTTCATGACGCGCCGTTGGTGAAGTAACTTTTTTAATTACATTACCATCAGCATCGGGTCAATTAATTTTGGTTGATGTGTGTGGCCCACTCACGTTTTCCGCATTTCCATTTCACTAATGCACTTCCCAGCACACCAGCACTGCGGCCTCATTTATTAGTCTAATTATTTGTGAAACACAACAACCGTCAGCATCGACAGCGGCGACCGTTTTGACTGAAACCGAAAGCCGGCAAATACTACAGCCGGCTTTATTTTATTAAGCGCCAAAAAAATCGAGTAATGGCGAAACCGCGGCTGTGGCGACTATAAATTTTGCACTATCGATCATTGTCAGGCTGCCAGATAATTTGCAATAAATCTGTGCCGCATTTCAGAATCGCGGAGAGCAGATAGGCCTGGGCAGCCAGAGCGGCTAAAGGTGCATTAAAACGGCCGCCACACAACATAAATTAGGATAATTACAATTGCACCCACAAGTGCCATTCGAGCCTTTGCTCGTTTCCCAGCTTTTCCATCTATTCCAGCCTTTTTGCCCCCCGGGAATGGCAAAGAATTTTGATTGCATAAACATAAACACAAACAAACTGCAACTTTGCACTATTGCAAATTGTCAGCAGCAGCAGGCGTTCGAATGGAAATGGAAATGAAAATACAAAAGCTACGAAAATCCAATATCCAAAAATTAGCCAAAAAAGAATTACCAACCGTGCCAATTACAACAATAAAAACAACAACAACGAAAGCGAGAGGGTGCCCACAATTAGGAGACGCCGAAAATGGCCGCAAATATTTGCCAACTCCTTGGCCAGCGCCCGGTCATGTTTGGCCGAAATTAGTTGGCCAAGCGGTGATTTTTTCCTTCTTGTTTTCTGGCCCACTTGCCGGCGGCCAGGTGGGGAGTGAAGCGGTGCGTTTTATGAGCACAGTTCCTGCAGCAAAACAAAATCAATTAAAACGAATCGCTGAAGCAAAGTTCCAGCCAACTCTCCGACTGGCTCATTCATCCGTGACTTTGCACTTTGCCGGCGTTGGCAATTGCGGCGCCTGTTTGTTGCTTCGTTGTTACACTAAGAAAATAAAGTTTTTAGGGGGACTAGAGATTATTTTAAACTTGTTTCTAAAACATTCTGTTAAATTGTAAAGAAAATTGTGTGTTTAGTGAGCTGTTTTATTTATAGAATTTATTTAGATAACATTAAAGTCAAGTCAAATGTTGATTAAGTAAAGAAGGCTTAACAAAACCCCCTACAAGAGAAGATATAAGCATAAGCTATAAGAAATATGTATACGACATTTTATACCTTCTTATTTTAGGAAGTTAATTCTAGATATCTAACTAATTTCTTAATTTATGAGTAGATTGAATATACAAACAGGTTTGAGCTACTTAAGAAAGTTTGTAAGATGGAATTTGAAATACTTTTACAGAGCTCTGCCAATACAGATGGACAGAAAATATAAAATGTTATTTTTATCCACCTATGTTAATATCAATATTTGAAAAATTAAAATGGTTATCTATAGAAGTTCCTGATTAATTTCTTGTTGTGCATTCTTGGTGGCTTTTATGCACTTTGTTGGTTATGTTGTATCCCACTGACAGGCAGACCACCCGCCAGCGTCGCGCCTGCGTCCGCCGTTTGCCGGCGATCGTTGCGCATGCGCGGAGTTGTTGCTGCCACAGCCGTTTGGCATTTGATATGCTTTATATTGTTTTGCATGCCGACTCTGAGTGGCCGTTGCAGTGGCTGTCGTTGGCCAAATTGCAACAAGCCAAGCCAAGCCAGGCTTAGGAAATTGATATGGAAATGTATAGCGCTTAACTAATTCGCAGCTTAAGAGAAATGAACTGCTTAGGACTAGCAACCAATTAAAGTTAGTTATTGCAATGAACGAGATAGCACACAAGCGTTGGGCAATGAGTGTCCATATATATCAGAGGTGGTGATGATGAAAACCAGCTTACTAATATATAATGATTTCGATTGAATATATTTTAAGCAGCAGTGAGTCTTAATCAGCGGGAAACTGAAACGGGAAGCGTTAATGAGTTCTGCTTATATTACCTTAACCTATCTATGAAATAGTAACACAGAATATGTATAAAATAATATCTCTCGTTCCTTGAGCTAAGATTCATTCCCATTTAAATTATATTTAAAAAGGTGAATAATAAGGAAATTTTATTGAAGGAAGAGTTGAACAAATTACATTCGAATTGCAGCCTCTACTGACTGGCTCTCAAGTGTTCCATTGAACTCTAGAAGTTCAGTTGCCAACCAATTAGCCTGGAGGCTGTTTCCAACTAACAACCAACGCGTGTTCGATTTTCACGCACCTCACCTCGACATTCAATGGAATCCATGGCATTGACTTTCAACACGAATTCCTGTTTCGCGGGAAACTGCACAACTACGACTGGTTTTTTATTTTGGGGGGCTGTCCCTGAGATTGCGTATACGCAGCGGTGGCCGACCACGCATGCGCCACCGAACCACGGAACCACCGAGCCCCAAAGAGTAATTGCTGTGGTCGGCGGCAATTTGCCACACTTGTCACTAATGCGGTTGACGTGTTGCAATGCTGCCTCTGCACTCCGCTCGAATCAATTTAATTCCATTTGATTTGATTCGATTGCCGGTGCCGTGTTCAATTTTTCTGACAGACTTTCACACTTGGTGTGCCAACCTGTGTATCTATTGTGACTGTGATTGTGCTAATCGATTGCCGTTGCGGATTATGCAAATGGGATTGCAGCAATTAGCCGCTGCGGGAAACTGTGTTCAATGCAGGGATGTTGACTCTGAACGGATACTCAGTTCCTAGAACTTCGTCCACGGCAGATAAGTTAAGGTATTCCTTTTTTCTTGCAAAATCCGACAGCGGATAACCTCCTGTCGTTCTGCGGTATTCCTTGTTAGTTGGCTCGCTATGTAGCTCACTTTTGCACTTTGTCCTTTCCTTACGCGTTCGCCTAATTAGTTTTTAATTCCTTTCAGTGTCGCGAACCTGCAGACAAGTTGGCTACATAGCCGGGCCAATTAGCTGCAGTTTGCGGGAATGTCAGGCCCTGGAACCGGGTCGGAGTGTGAGGTGGATCACAATTTCTTACCTCTCCAGCCCGCAGTTAATTAGCCTTGAAACCTGAAAACCACCGACCCGATCAATCAATTGAAAAGTTTCATTCTTGTGACACCGAACGTGACCTTTGTTACTTTGCCGCCTGTTTAGTTGACATCTCCTTGTTCCCTTGTCTTGAAAGTGAGGCGGCTGCCGAGCTGTCAGTTATGCGATTTGACAGATGGATAAGAGCCCACAGAGACCGATTCGCTTTTCCTCGATTCGAATTTGAGATAATGCCAGGGGTCGGCATTTGACTATCATATCACGATGGCTGTGTGGGGGTGTCTTAGGTATGACCTTGAGCAAGCACTAGTTAACACAAATCCGACTTGGACTTGGAAATCGGTTTACTAAAAATAGGAATTCACTTTATAGTGATTGATAAATATATTTAATCGCTTGTTTAAACTAAAATATTAGTAAGAACATTCCACCTATCTAACAAGAAGAGCATTCCTAAATCTTTAAATATTTAATGATGGGTTGTATCTCAAGAAGCCCTTGTATCTAGTAGGAATCCCTTGTTGACTAGTGTAAGTGGACTTTGAATAATGGAGGTGTCCGGATACGTGGGCCTCGGCACGTGAGACAGCCTTGCGGGATGAGCTCGATTTGAAATATTTGTCTTTGGCCTGGGTCTTTGGCAGGCTCGAAATGCGTAGCTCCTAATCCCAGTTTGATGTAAGCATGAAATTGTTATATCCGCGACAAAGAAGCAATAAATTAGGATGGTCTCGGCCAATCTCCTCGCCAATCTGTGTCTCTAGCTTTTTTTTTCAGTTATCTTAAAGTTTCAAGGAACTCTTTATGACTTCTTTCAGG